ATGTTCAACTGAAACCAGAACTGTTCCTACTGAGACTTATGGATATACAGTTAGAAAGATTATGGGACTTTTTCAATATATGATTACAGCACAAAGATGAAAAGATTCATCATTACCTACCATGGATGAATGGTTGTTAAAATTATTCGACTTATCTGAGATGGTGAAGTTGACGTGTTTAATCACAGAAAAATCATTGTCAACGTTTACTAAAGATTGGAGACTGCTTAGAGACCCTTTGTGTGAAAAAGAAAATGAACATAATATTTGGGTTTGAGGACTGAAGAGAATATTGGTTTAAGGAAAGTGGATTTGTGGGTGTTTTCTTGGAGTGGATATGTTGAATAATTTTTTACATATGGCTGACAGGTGAAGAATGGGAAGTTCTCCTTTTTCTTTTGTCTTCATCTGCTCCCCTCTTTCTGTTCTGTGTTATTACTTAGTTTTTTAGCCTTGATAAAAAAGATATCTGATGATAATAATAATAATAATAATAATAATAATAATAATAATAATTTATTATTTGTACCCCGCCCATCTGGTTGGGTTTCCCTAGCCACTCTGGGCGGCTTCCAACAAGGATTAAAAATACATCAAAATAGCACACATTGAAAACTTCCCTGAACAGGGCTGCCTTCAGATGTCTTCCGAATGGTAGTTGTTTATCTCTTTGATATCTGATGGGAGGGTGTTCCATAGGGCGGGCGCCACTACCGAGAAGGCCCTTTACCTGGTTCCCTGTAACTTTGCTTCTCCCAGTGAGGGACCGCCAGAAGGCCCTCGGCACTGGACCTCAGAGTCTGGGCAGAATGATGGGGAATCTTTGCATTCCCCCCAAACTTCAGTAACATTGACTTTGAACATTTCCCAACTACAGTTCCTGCTGTAATATGTCTTCCAGAGGAATTCATAACTATGCAAGGCAGGTTAATGCAACCATTTCTCCACCACTTTTCACCTTTTGCTATCACATTATGTATTTGTCATCTACAGCAATTTCCATTTTTAATGAGTACCACTTCTGGAAAGGGCAGATAGTGAACTGAATTTTAAAATATTGTGACTATGACAAGGAGTGAACCTTCCAGGCTACCTGGATTATCCTGGATTTCTTGGTGGTGGTAGTTTTCAATAACCCTCACAACAGATCACTGGATTAGCTATTTAATTTTCTTTTCTCCATATATAAGCAAAACATTTTAAGGGCACACACCATTTCCCAGCAAATCATTCTGTTCTGCCAAGTCTCTGCAAGATTGAGTATGCATTTAGATGAATAATTTACAAGTCACCTCAATCAATATAAAAAAAATTAAGTGCAGAGTACTCAAGTCCCCACAAGCAAAACTACCTCATCAAGGAAAATTATTAGCACACCTCTAGAGTCTACCATATAGATATTGATTATTTAATTATGTAAATAAGGCACAGCACACAAGTGAAGTTTAAAAATTAATCAGAGCTGGAAGGAAATCCAAGCCAATCTAATTTGGCTCCTTGTCCCAGAACATCACACATCAACCAATGTGCATTTCATAGAATGACATAACCCTTCACAGGTAAGGGCAAATATTGTAGCTCACTGAGCTGCACATTTAAATGTGTCATCGTACAACAAAAATCATGTAGCTAGGGCAAGCTAGTTACTCAAAAGGATTTGTGTAGCACCTTGGACAACAGGCTAGTTACGTTACCCTCTGCCATTTAGGATATACAGTCGTACCTTGGTTTTTGAACAGCTTAGTTTTGAAACGTTTTGGCTCCCGAATGCTGCAAACCCGTAAGTGACTGCTTCGATTTGAGAACTATTTTTGGAAGCCGAACATCCGACGGGGTTTCCAATTGGCTGCAGGAGCTCCCTGCAGCCAATCAGAAGCTGAGCTTTGGTTTCCGAACATTTTGGAAGTCAAATGGACTTCTGGAATGGATTCCGTTCGACTTCCAAGGTACGACTGTAGATGTCTGACTGTGCTTTCTTGTGATTCAAAACCAGAAACTACTGATACTCAAAACATCTGTATGAACAACTGTGGGTTGTTTGGCATATTTGCTTAAACATTCCATTTGAAATCAGCTCCAATATGGAGGCCAAATGGCCGAAATATTGGGAAATTTTGGAACAAGAAGGAGACAAATTGAAATTGCAGAGTTTCGAGAATTTAAAAAATAAAGTGAGAGATTGGCTTCATTATTACCAGATAATGGAGGCATACAATCTGGATAAGAAAATTGGCTTCCAGGTGGAAAAATCAAAATTAGAAACAGAACTGTTAGAACCCAAAACTAAAAATTTGTCAAGAATGTATAACTTGCTGTTGAAATGGAATACTCAGGATGAAACGGTGAAATCTGTTATGATTAAATGGGCACAAGATGTTGGACACAATATTATGTTTGCTGACTGGGAACAGTTATGGACCACAGGTATGAAGTTTATGGCATGTAATGCCTTAAGAGAGAATATTATGAAAATGATATACAGGTGGTACATGACCCCAGTCAAGCTTGCAAAAATCTATCATTTGCCCGATAATAAATGTTGGAAATGTAAAGAAACTGAAGGCACATTCTTTCACCTTTGGTGGACGTGCCCAAGGATTAAGGCTTTCTGGGAGATGATTTATAATGAAAAAAAAGGTATTTAAATATACCTTCCTGAAGAAACCAGAGGCTTTTCTTCTGGGCATCGTCGGCCAATTGGTGCCAAAGAAGGATAGAACTTTTTTATGTATGCCACAACAGCAGCAAGAATACTCATTGCAAAGTATTGGAAGACACAAGATCTACCCACTCTGGAAGAATGGCAGATGAAGGTGATTGACTACATGGAATTGGCGGAAATGACTGGCAGAATCCGAGACCAGGGAGAAGAGTCGGTGAAAGAAGACTGGAAGAAATTTAAAGACTATTTACAGAAATATTGTAAAATTAAGGAATTTTAGAAGGATGTTGGATAGAAACTAAGTCGTTTCCAGCTGTAATGCTTTAAGAGATACGAAAAAAGGTTTTATAAATGGGTAAAAGCTTAATGGTAAGGACTTGCTGAACTAACAAACTGAACTGGAATACAAAAAAGGGAGGTATGAGGAGGTCCGGGGAAATAAGTGAAAGGAGGTATGTTATGGAAAACTAACGATGTGTTTTTAATTGTTTTTATTTTGTATGTTTCCTTTTATTTTTCTCTTTTTTGCTGTATCTTAAAAACTTTATCCTTTTTTCTGTATTTTGTATTTTCTTCTATTTTTATTTTCTGTTTTTGTATTTTTTGAAATTTTAATAAATATCATTTTTTAAAAAAAAGAAATCAGCTCCATTTTCAAACCCATCAACACTTTCCTCCTCGGATGCCATTTGCCTTTGCTTAGATTGGGCTCCTACCAATAACTCATTTTCAGGTTGTTGGTGTGTTTTTTTGGTTAACTCTGGGCAGGGGGAACTGATGAAAGCCATATTTGGTATAAAAAACCCCAGATTTTGTATCATGCATCTGACACATATTAACTCAATACAATTTTACTTCAGTTTTGGAGCAAACTTGTAAACATATTGGGACTTGTGTTTGGTAAATGTGCTGAAATCTCTGCCTTAAGGCAAGTTCTCTATGAATCCAGCACAGAGTTAGTTCAGTAATTTTTAATAATCACTTTTGGTCTTGGATATTGACAGGCCCTTGGGTCGTTACGAGGAATCTCCCTAACACAACAACCGTGCAAAATAAACTGGAATTTCTCTTGAAACATGCAAAATAAATCAATGCAAGTCCTGAAAATAACTATACAGTATTACACTATACAATCTCTATCACATATATACCCCAAAATCTATTATCATCTCAGATGACAATAGATTATATATCTATATGCTATCAATGGACACCAGCTTTGATTTGAACCAGTGCAATGCGGATCATTATAACGTGTTTATAATGACAGATAAAATCTTCACAGAATTTCTATAAAACTTCTCAGAAGATAATAAAAACATTGGCACACGTGTAGGCTTTTTCTACTGTGTATCCAGTTTCTGGCATTGGAACTCTCTCCAGCATTGCAAAGTTGGAATCTGTAACCATTTCAAGCTTTCACTACTGTTGTCCATAAGGACTTTGAAAAGCTTCACATAATTCACTCTCCCAACTAGTCCCAAATGCAATTCACAAGTCAAGCTGTCCTAATACGCATAATAAAAGATATTTATAAGAGACAAGAGATATTTACAAGGTTTGAGCATACTACACCAATATGGGCCTGACTGCACTGGCTGCCAATTAGCTTGTGGGCCCAATTCAAAGTGCTGGTTTTGACCTATAAAGCCTTAAATGGCTCAGGACTGCAATACCTCAAGAACTGCCTCTCTCCATGAGAGCAAACCTAGACCTTGTGATCACTACCCTAGACCTTGTGATCACTAAGGGAGCCAGTGTACAGCTTCCGGGTCATGTGGCCAGCATGACTAAGCCACTTCTGGCAAACCAGAGCAGTGCACAGAAACGTCATTTACCTTCCCGCTGGAGCGGTACCTATTTATCTACTTGCGCTTTGACATGCTTTTGAACTGCTAGGTTGGCAGGAGCAGAGACCAAGCGACAGGAGCTCACCCCTTTGCGGGGATTCAAACCACCGACCTTCTGATTGGCAAGTCCTAGGCTGTGTGGTTTAACCCACAGCGCCACCCGCGCCCCTTTGATTAATATTCTATTAATATTATAGAATAATAGAATAGAATAAATATAGAATATTAATATTCTACAGCTTTTTAAATGTGTCTGCAGAAAGGGGGAGTTATTGTTTTACTGTTTTAATTATTTACTTGTTTTTATCCTGTATTTTGTTCTGTGAACCACCCTGAGATCTTGTGATGAAGGGCCGTATATAAATCTAATAAAGAACAACAAGATACCACATTGCGGGTCCACATCCCTAACAGCATCCCATTTCCAAGCATGTTGGTAGCTTTGGACCTAATATCATTTTGCAGAGGATGAAAAAGGAGCAAGCAAATTGAAAACAAATGTCTGCTTGAAAAGCAAATATATTTGTTATGCACTTTCATATACATAAGGATTTTTGCTTAATATAATACAAGAAATAAAATAAAAATTTTACAATGTGAAATTCAATGTACATTATAGGCTATTTACAATCCAATCCAGAAAAAAGTCTTAACTGTGCACCATGTTATTTGAAGAGTTTCAACGGAGGATAACGAGCATGAACAGACATTTGCATAGCAGCATAGTTGACAAGAGAAAATGATGCTTTAAGTAAAAACAAAGCCATTTCCCAATACTGATCATGACAAGGGTATCACTATAGTGTAAGATGCTAAGGTTTCGACAGGTAAATTTGCCATTCAATTCCCTTTTCAGGTGACTTCCCTGGCGCACATATGGTTCAGACATTAACGCTCATCAGTCTTTTCCCTAGTCTCCAATTATGAATTGTGACACTTTCTTTAGTTTCCTCTAGGGATGACTTTGGATAATATAGGGAAAAGAAAGGTGACAGCAGAACCAGAGATTTGTGAAACGAGAAAAAAAAGTAAGAAGTCTTGAATTCTGCTGCATTATAGCTGATCAGCCCTGCCAAGTCATGGGTTAGCAGAACTGAGCCACACACATCAATTCACAATTGCAAAGAAGACAGACCTGCCAATATTTCAGGGTGATTAATTTTACCTTTTTTTGAGAGAGAGGCCACAAAAGCCAATATATTTTTAAAAATCATACATTAAAGCAATGCGGAACAATCTCACACTCTTGTCAAATGGATATTTTTAAACAGAGAAACACATGCTGCATTCCTAAGCGTTTCTGAAAATGTGCAGGAACTTTTATTTTAATTATCTGAAAGGTAGCACTTTTCAGCTGACCTTCCTATAGCTGGTGTCTGTGTTTGGGCATGTTACCACCACCAGCTCTTTTAGAGACATTAAGATTATAGTCTGCTGAAAATCATGAAGACTTCTGCAATGCGTAGCCTTCTTGTGAAAATGGCCAGAAATATCACCATCTAGTCACAAGGTACATACTGTAATTTAAAAACACACAAATAAACAAATAAATATAATCTCAGCGACAGCCGAGATCCAGAGAGAAAGGCAGCCTTTAGGGATGTCTTTCTACAGATCAATACATCTAACATGAAAGAAGAGCTATATTCTTGTGCAGTGTTGAAAATATCCAGTACTTAAGTTCAGAGCAAGTTGGGAGTAATGATTTGACACTCTTACCAAGCAACATTTTTACCTTCGTACTTAGGTCAAGAATGGGGAACCTTTGGCTCTCCAGATATTAAGACTGCAGCTCCCATCATACCTGACCAAGATAGGCCTGATGGAGTGGGGGAGATAAAAGATCTGGCCTGCCAGACGCTAACAGTTCCCCACTCCTGTTTTACATGTAGAAGGGTCCATATCCAATCCCTTGCACTTTTAGTTAAAGCAGAGATGGGGAAACTGGGCTTCCATATGTTCTTGGACTACCACACCATTGGCCATGATGACTGGGACTGATGGGAATGGGACGTCTGACGGACCAGAGGCTCCTCACCCCTGAGTTAAAGGATTTTTGTTCCAGGGCTGGGAACATACCATGCTGGACTTAAGGGACCTAAGACCTGACTCCATCTGGAGCTATTTTATATGCTCATAAGCAAAACCAGATAAGTCACTTTGGGATGCCCTGGGCAAGAGAAAGCAGCTAACAAAAGTTACCATCATTTAAGTGGGTAGTATGAAAACTGGCCTTGATGCTGAAGAACTGTTCCTTCATAAACCGCCTTTAAAACAAGTAGCAGAGACAGGACCCAATAAATTGCAGTTGTACTCCCTCCCTCTCCCCACCCCAGGCTGAAGGTAAGTACTGAAGTTAGCCAATACTGTCACAAGAGTTGCTTTCCTTATGAGAAACATCTGAACAACACAGAAAACCAACTGTACATTACAGCAATGCAAATGTGATTTTACGTGTACAGAAGAGTAGCTTGTGTTTTGAGCCAGTTTACATCTTCAAAATCTGCCCCACGCTACATGTTTGCTGTGGCTTCTGTTGCTTTACGCTCCCACGAGCAGATACAGAATGCAATGCATAAACCAGATTCTCCAGACTCAGACACTGATGTCTGAGACTGCAGTTGTGATTTCTGAGCTACCACAGGTGGTATCAACTGCTGCTGTGGCTGTGATCTGGGGATGAGCCAATTCACATTATCTATTCTCCATGCAAAGAGGACAGATGGGGTCTTTTATGTGGATTTTGATCATGGTGGACCCTGCAGCAAAACAACAAAAAGTCTAATGGCACCAAAAGTCCTACATCAAAAGTATGCCGCAACACTTCTAGAAGTGGGTTCAAATAATTAACAGGAACTCTAGCTTGGGTCAATGGAGGAGGGGTTCCCTTAGTCTTTGAGGTGACATTGAACATTCCTTGTCTGTTTGACCGTGTGCAGAGTTTCTTTTGCACATGAATGTAAAATAAATACAGAAAGCATTGCTGTTTGTCACAAAGTCCACTGTGGCACATTTACACTGATAAAGCCTTCTGAAACAGAGAACTCAAATTTCTAGCTCTTAACAACTTTTCAGCTGTGTGAGTGGAAATACAACGTATCTTGTTCTGCTACTGAGGAAGAAAAGAAAGTGCTTATTCTGTGTAGTAAGTACAAAGTACACAAAATAATTTTTTTCTGAAGCACAGAAGGTTACATTTAAGAAGGCAGCCTTATTTTTTCTTTTTCTTTAGGCACATTACAGTAATCAAGGTAACTGTACTGCAGTGATCACATTCGTAATTTTCAATGTGGTTCAACAAGCAAGACATGCTTTGATTCCAGCCCGGGTGACAAAACATTCCAGGCAGAAACTCTTCATTTTATTCATGGTGTCATGGAGCTGCCTTGAAAACAAAAACAAAACAAAACATAAAATGGTTACATTCTAAGTAGATCATCTCAAAACTATGAATAAGCTGCTGTATGTGGCAATCTATCTCATGTAGTCGTGATCACAGAAAATCATGTACCTTAAATTATGCATTTTCTTTTGCAGGGATCAAGTTTGAAATGATAACACACACAGGGTCAGATAGCATGTTATTATGCTGCTATCTGTACCATGCTATCTGTAAATAGTACCATGCCAAGCAGTACAGCTTCATTAACAATGGTAGCTTGGCCATTCAATAGGAGATAAAATTCATTTTCTTAAAAATATATGTGAAGCATACACATCAAATAACTCATGTTAATAATAATAATAATAATAATAATAATAATAATAATAATAATAATTTAAATGTACACATAGCATCCAGAAATTGGTCAGAGGTGGCTGACAGATTGGTGTGCCAGACAGTTATCAGTCAGTGCTTTTGAGCGGAAGCTGAGCTACAGGACCCCACAGTTGTGCAGAGGCATTGGAGAGAAGACTATTGTTATCATTGTGGATGCAATATGATGAGACTTACATAGGATGCCTCTGGTCAATTAACACCATGAGCATGTAAGGTACTGATCTGGCTGCCCCCTGCTTCCAGTCCTATTGAACAATGTTGATTGGTAAGGACATGAGGTCTTCTCCCCATTGGCTTTTGATGCCACCCTGCTGCATTGCCACCCTGCTGAAAGTGCCTCACCTCTTACAATGGTGTTTCCTTCTTATAGTTGAAGCTTGGGTCATTCCCCTCAATTTGAAGTTTTAAGGCTTGCTTAAGGCTCAGCTCCGTCTCTGCAGAAGGATAGCCTTCCAAAACCTCCTGATGCCCTCGATCCTGTACTGTTCGTGGGACAGAAACTCTGCCAAGAAAAACCTGATTGCTCTGAAGGTGGTAGTTTGGATTAGTCATTATTCCATTTCTCTTTTTCTGCTCCCCACTTTGTTGGTGGATCAGGAACTGCTGCTGAGACCGGCAAACTTCCTGATGGACTGGAGGGACTAAAATTTTACACTGAGTGTCACTAGGCATTGATTTAAGGGGCACGCCGGCCCCACATTTGGCAACAGGTATCCTTTTATCAAACTGAGTCATTTCATATTCAAGGACTTTTGGTTGAGAGGAGGTGCTCTGTTTCACCTTTTTCCCAGCAGACCCGGATTTGTTGGAATTCTCCGTTTTCCCCGTTTTGCTGGCTTTTGTGGATTTCAAGCTGGGCTTCACCTGGCTCCATTCAAATTCGCTGTTTGGCGAACTATGATTCTGACTTAAGGAGTGAGTTGTGGAGGAAGGAGAAACAATAGACTGCCTACTTCTACTGCGGGGTAACGAATGCTGCTGTATTTGTTCCGTAAAGGACATACTGTGGAAGCTGTCGATCGGTACTGTCTGGGCAGTCGCTGTAGATGAAGTTGTGCGCAGAGAAGAGTTTTTTGAGCTTTTTAATGAATTATTGGATAGGGAGGACTTCTGCCGATCAACTGTCGAATCGGGAGATTCAGAAGGAGAACTAAAGGCATGAGCTGGCCCATTAGACAAGCCACGCAAAGCAGGCTGCGTATCTCCCCCACCAGTGCTCCCCGAACTATTGGATTTTATGGTTAAGGATTGCATCTTTGAAGATGCCGATTGCAAAGGTTTTTGTTCCATTGTATGGACCGGAGAAGGAGTGCAGCCATTTAGAGTAGAAGCACCATATTTTTCCAGTAATTTAATTATCTGCGTGTGTCCATTTTTTGCAGCTACGCGCATAGCTGTGCGCCCAAATTGATCCGCATGATTTGGATCGGCACCGTGCTCCAGTAATATCTGCACAACATCGATGTGCCCTTCTTGGGCTGCAATGCAGAGTGCAGTAGCACCCTGATTGCACGTATGGTCCACTAGGGCCCCACGCTCTATCAAAAGCTGAACTACTTTGACATGGCCCTGCCACGCGGCAGACTGCAAAGCTGAGCGTTTCTCATTGTCTGCGGCATTCACATCAGCATGGTACGTGATCAGCATCTGTACCATCTCCACATGGCCCTGCCAGCAGGAAACATGGAGCGCAGTCCTTCCTTCAGCATCACTGGCTTCGACATTTGCACCATTTTCTAAAAAATACTCCGCCATCGTTAGCTGGTTTTCTAGAGCCAAGATATACAGTGTTGGCCTGCCATCAGCATCTTTGTAATTCACATCAGCTCCATGACTGAAAAGTAGCTCGACAATGTCTCTATGGCCTTCTAAAGCAGCAACACGGAGAGCATTTCTCCCATCATAGCCCCTGTGATCAATGTTAGATTTGTTTTCCAGCAAGGTCTGCACACAATCATAGTGACCTTCCTGGGCAGCCAATATGAAGGCTATGCGCCCGTCATTATCAATTTCATTTGTTCGAGCACCTTGTTCTATAAGTGCTTCACATATCAACCTGTGTCCTTCAAAAGCTGCCATGTGCAAAGGTGTCCATCCTGCATCGTCCCTATGATTCTCATCCAGCCCTCTATCCAGCAGAGTCCGTACTACTTCAACATTGCCTTGTGCAGAGGCTATACTAAGAACCGTCCGTCCTTCACTATCAATGCTATCCACAGCTGCCCCCCAAAACAAAAGAGTATTTACAACTGATGCATGGCCCATGGAAGCTGCAGCAAGAAGAGGGGTGCGGCCATTGTTGTCCGTATGGTCTACATCTGCTCCGCCTTCCAGAAGCAAATCAACAACATCTACATGTCCTTCGTAGGCTGCCACTAGCAGTGGGGTCATGCCATCTTTGTCACAATGGTCCACCTCGGCGCCCCGGTCAATTAAAAGGCTCACAACTGAAGCATGTCCTTTACTGGCAGGTACACAAAGAGCAGCAACGGAGAGGGCAGTCCTTCCATCCACATCCTCATGGTTTACTTCTGCTCCGTGGTCCAACAGATGCTCCACAATCTCTTTATGCCCCATGTATGCTGCTGCAATTAAAGCAGTTCTACCTTCATTATCCGCTTTGTTGACCTCAGCCCCATGTTGCAACAGATTCAGCACAATATCTTCATGGCCTCCCCAAGCTGCTGCTCTCAAGGCTGTCCGACTGTCAGCGTCTGCACAGTCTACTTTTACTCCAGCATAGAGGAGTGCAGAAACCACCTCAGTATGCCCGCCCCAAGCTGCCGATCGCAGGGCTGTCCACCCATCATGGTCCGTGTGATTTATGTTAGCACCACACCCAATCAAACAGTTGACAACTTTGGTGTGGCCCTGCCGAGCAGCTAGAGTAAGTGCGGTCTGCCCATGCGTGTCTTCAATCTCTAAATCTGCTCCTCTGGAAACTAGCAGATTGACTACATCAAGATTGCCACTATAGGCAGCGTTAGCCAAGAGTGTTCTACCATTCGAGTCACACTGGTTTACCGAAGCACCATTATCCAATAGAGTCCGAATAGAATCTTCTCTTTCCAAAGCCTGCCGTACAATGCAAGATGTCCGATCGTCCTCACTGTTGACATGAGCACCGGCTTTTACCAGCAACTGTAAAACTTCTTGTTCTTTGGGGATCAACGTTGACAAAGAGTCTTTGACAGGCGTACCATTCCAGATCATCCACAAAGCCAGTTCAGAGGTTTCCAGTTGCAAGTTGGAATCAATTAGGTGCAAAGCAAATTCTTGAGCCTCCAGAGGCGATAAATCCTTGGCTCGACAGGTGTAACTCATTGCAAGCATTCTGTGCCCTTCTGCTGCGTTGCACAAATATTTTTGTGTACAGTGCTTTACATCCAACAGCCATTCTGCAAAGCTGTAGTGAAAAAGGATCTTTGTGTTTCCGAGACCATCGACAAGAACTTTCGACAGAACATCTAGCTTGCGCTGGAAGTCCTCCATAGATAATGCCATGTTTTTGGTCCATACTGCATGGAACAATTCAACTGTAGTTAGTGGCCTGCAAGCAGCAAGGATTACATTCAGAATAGGTTGGACCTTTGCAAACTGTTTTCTCACAAAAAGTCTTTGACAAAGCCAAAGATAGAGGCCGTTGAGTGTCCCAGGGATATCGCGGATTTCTCGTAACATGATAAAGTTTTCCACTACTCCATCTAGGACACGCTCGAGATACAGAAAGCATCCACTGCTTTTAATGTGAAGCTGATTCAACATTTCTGCAGTTTCTTTTGTGAGATGTTGTCTCAGTGCTTCTTCTTGATCTAAGCGATGAAGAATATACTGTTGGACATCTTTCACGATGTAAGCCTTTCGGAGATCATCAAGGCTTATCTTTCGAAAGCCTATAAGAAAAAAGGAAAGAGGGGAGGAAAGTAAGTTTTTCTGAAATTTAGTTGCAAACAAGCTTATAATCGCTCATTGTATTTTTGCTGTTCTTAAGACGGTAGAAACATTCTCCTCCTAAAAAAGTGAAAGGGAGATGCCACTGAAAAGGTCTACCTAGTCACGAGAATGTAGTACATATGTGCCATCTACATGTTGCTGAACCACCGCTCCCATCAGCCTCTATAAGCATGGACAATGACCAGGAAAGATGTGAATTGTAGTTCACCAATATCTGGAGGGCCAAAGATTTCGCATATCTGATGTAGCAGAAGGACAGAATATGGTGTTTGATTTGAAGATATGAGCTCAGTGTTGCTGTTTGCCCTTGGAAATAGTGTCTGGTTTTGGCATTCCTCCCAGAACTTTTTTTTTTTCAGACTTAGAAAACATTACACAGTCTGCACGTACTTTTCTGGAACCAGTTCCAGAATGAAAGTAACAGCAAAATTTCAAGTGGATGAATTTAAGACTGCTTTTATATAGCTATTGCAATCTTAGCTCTCTTTTTGCAATCAACTAACTTCAGCTGTTCTGGTTAGTAATTTGCATACTGTTCCTGAGAGTCACCTAATCGCTAACGATCTGTGGGTTTCAACTTACGATGGTCAATAAGGCCAAATTATATTGTGGGTGAAAGCTGTTAAATGATCAACAGTCCACCCCAGTTTAAACCATGTATCCAGGGGGCTATAATAGTTAGGTTGCAATTGTTTTGAGTCATGTTTATTGTGTTTACAGCACTCTGGGATCAAAGTGCTCCACTTTCCAATAAACCTTCTTTTGTGGTATAATGGGATGAAGGAATCCAGCTGGAATGCTCAAGTCCTATGGGCAAGAGTGCTGCAGTAATACTAAGGGACACGAGAGATTTTTACAGCTGTTGTGCTGACTGCTGGAATTTACAGTGTCCAAACACAGCAGAGGTCCAAGGCTGGGTGGATTCACAAACATGCAGCAAACAAGTTATGAAGGGACAATTTGATTCTGGATAGAAACAGGCAATCACTCCAAAATTTTGAGAGAGATTATCAGCCACACGTGTCCACTGTCAGCTGCCCTATGATAAGCACTTGCTACCTGATAACCACAGCTACATGATCTTCAGAGCAGCCCTGTAAGTAGAAATACCTGAGGCAGGTTTTCAGTGTGTGCATTTGGTCAAAGGCTGGGGAATGTCTGGAGCACAGGCCAATATGGGCCTGGCAGCCTCCCCAGTTTGGGTAAGCCATGACCATCTACCCTACATGTGACTTCACACAAGTAAGAGAGGGGCTTGCCCAAAGCCTAAATCTGTAGCCTAATCTTCCCCTGACTGTGCAACACGAATAGACTCCAGCTTTTATTCTGTTAAGTGTGATCATGCCAGAAGTGAAATGCAATTAAGCATTTGATTTTGAAAATGAAGATGCACAACACAGGCTACTTATGCAATTTTAATGGAACTAAAGTAGCACTTTGGCATAGCAGAACCATGCTATCACGACAACATTCCAGGAGAAGTCAACGAATCCAGGAGTTGAAAGGGGGTCCTCTGAAGATTTATCATTTCTCCCAAGCCCTGTAGTGTTCAATACTCCAAGGACAAGATCATAAATCTAATACCTTACATTAATCATCTAAAGACAAGATAATTTGCTAACCTACTTTATGTTGTTGGCTACTGGAAATCCTTAACAATGTGTGGACAAGCAAAGTGACAGAATGGGCACGTACGATTCATAAGACATTTTTCATGGCATGGAATAGCAAACAGCCGCTCCATCACTAAATACTTCTGGGGAAGCATGAGAACTCTCTAACTGATAAATATTCACCAACTGTTTGCCAAGGCCTAATCTGTATACAGCAGGGATGGAGATGCAGGTCTCGGACTCCTGGGATACTCCTGAGGCCACATCACCTCCCTCTTCTAGGCTGCACACCCCTAACCAGCCTTCTCCACACTCTCCTCCAGAGTTTTTGCCTGTCTGGAAAATGTCATTGAACTGTGAAAACACTTCTTGCTTGGCAGGAATGTAGTTTATTGTACAAAGTTAAGAGTCACAACTTTTGTTTCTTTTTCTTTTCAGTAATACAGTCGTACCTTGGAAGTTGAACAGAATCCGTTCCAGAAGTCTGTTCAACTTCCAAAACATTCGAAAACCAAAGTGCGGCTTCCTGCAGCTGATCAGAAGCTGCGGAAGCCCTGTCGAATGTTCAGCTTCCAAAAATAGTTTGCAGACCAGATCAGTCACTTCTGGGTTTGCAACGTTCGGGAGCCAAAACGTTCGGGAACTAAGCTGTTCGACTTTCAAGGTACAACTGTACATACATGTCACTTTGTTTATGACAGCTAACGGACAGCAAAACCAGAAGACAATAAGGTAACAAGCAGGAGTTGCTGGAGGTGTGTGTATGTATATATTCCAATCCTTGATTTGAACTTCACCACCCACGCTAAACCAGCTAGCCACCCGTTTGCCACTGTGATTCAGCACTGGCATTATCCCTATATGGTTTGGCACTCAGATCTAGTATACCTGGAAGACGGAAAATGTGTCCACCTGGAAGCATCCTGAAAATGTATCTTAACATATTGAAATAAAATTGCTTGGTATACACATGCAAAGGTTCACAGTCTCTCTACTACGCCCAGCCACACCTAGCTGTTCTCATGTCACTCAACCCAGTTGATAGCCAGGCAGATTTGAACTCTGAATCAATCTTACATTTTGTTGAATGTATCTAGACGCTAAACAAGTCTAAACAAAATTATGTAAGATTCCTTGCCAACTTCTTCTGACTAACTCATAAAACACACACAAACACACACACACTTATATTAGGCTTGCATGGACAATAAAGATAAAATATTATGGGAAGATTCATTATGTTGCAAAGCCTGTCCCACAAATTCTTGAACTCAGCAAGTCAGGAACAGCAGAGACAACTTACAATCTCACGACCCAACTTCTGCATTGTTTAGATTTTTCCTACAGCACATCATCTTTTCCCCAACAGGAGCTCAAAAATCCATTTCCTTGATTTATTAAATTTGCTTCCAGCTCTGTAAACAAATCCATACCAAATTTAGCTTCTGGCATCTCACAGGGGTCTTGGGTCATTTTAAGAAGTATATGGGCAGTATGCATTCTATGAAGAACAAAATACCTCCTTTGGTCTTTAATCTAACAAAAATGCTTTACCAGTGAAAACAAAACAGGAGCCTTGTGGCACCTTGAAGGCACACAAATTTATAGCAGCATAAGCTTTTGAGGACATGATAAATCTGTGGGTCTTCAATGCGCCACAAAGCTGTTTTCCTTTTTACAACAGACTAACAAGGCTACTTTTGGGAACTACAATGCTGAATTTTATTATCTTGGATCTGTTTGCCTCTTAATCCTATGCATTATGGAAAATTCCAAAACAACCCTTGTTCATATTTCTCCTTCACTCAATGCATCTTAAATATGTAATCTAAATGATGAGGCAATATTCCAGTGCCTTAAGTATGAATAATTTACATTGCCAAGCTAAGCTGATCTAAGTAGAATTAGACATTTATAATAACATTTTATGCATACCTACTCATAAGGAACTAATCTCTCGGCAGTGAAATATTAATCAGAAAACCAAAGCCCCTCCTTACACAAGGCCATTTGAGTGAGGACTGAAGTTAAAACAGCCTGTGCACAGAGGACATTCACAGAAGCAGAACACAAGAGAATTTGCCAGAATAGGGTTAACTGAGTTTTTGAATTGTGTACAGAGGCTGACATTTATACCCAGCACAAAACAATTAGAATGCAATTCCTTTGAAATATAGTGAACTTCCCAGCCTGCTATAACTTCTAAAAACCCATTCAAATGCAATTTTTTGAATATAGTGGTACCTCCGGATATGAACGGGATCCATTCTGGAGCCCCGTTCGCATCCAGAAGCAAACGTAACTAGCAACGGCACGTCTGCGCGCACATGTGCGCGTCACTTTTCGCCGAGTCTGCGCATGCCCAAGCGGCGAAACCCGGAAGTAACGCGCTCCGTTACTTCCGGGTTGCCGCGGAGTGCAACAAATGCGCTCAACCCGAAGCGCATTCAACTCAAGGTATGACTATATAGAAAATGGCCGTTTGGAATGCATTTATTTGTAAAGTTTCATTGGAGGCAACATTTCATTGGATGAGGCATCCATGCAGCTTGTTCACCAAAGGAGAAGGCTGACGTTCTATCTGTTTTGAGGGTGCTAAAGGGACTTATCATAGCCCAGTGTTATATTTTATATATACTGGTTGGAGAATTTGTCATTTAAGGTATTATGAGTGAGCTTCACAACTCAAAGCAGCCAGGCTGCCACTTTCAAAAGCAAGCATCCCGTTTTAAAGCCCTTGTTACTAAAATCTTCATGTGTTCGTCATGTGAAACAGAGTTTATCTAACTGGAGCTTGCATTTCAGCAAAACATTGTAAATCCAAGTATCTCTATCTATATATTTACAATACATGCCTACTCTGAAAAAAGTTCCAGGGGCAGAGCAAATGCAAAGAGCATAAACCTCTTCCTCTGCACATCAATACTTCCATTCTAGAGGTAGAATGCACAAGCCTATGGAAGTTAGTTTCGGGAACTCTTTTCCTTCCACCAACCTAAGTACACAGACTAGGTGGAGCAGACTAAAAGCCCATCAAACCAGCAACCTGTTCTCACAGTGGTCAGCCAGATTCCTGCAAGCAGGACATGAGTGCAACAGCACTCCCCCCAATTGTGATTCCCATAAGCTGGCATTTAAAAGCATATCAACTGACATGGCAGGTAATTGCATAGCTGTTATGGCTAGTAGCCATTGATAGCCTGGTCCACTGAGGGTTCTCTATATGTACATTTAGTGGTATTCTGATCAAAACAGCTGCAAACAGAATGAAGGCTCCTCCAGTACACAAACGCTCAGTGCAACTTAAGGCCACACAGTTGAAGATATCAGTGACCCACAACTAATACACCTCTAAAATAGATACTATGGAAGGAGAACAGAGTGCAGTGCCATCGTTCAATGGCGGAGCACGAGTGCTTTGTGTAAAATGTCCCAGGATCTATATCTGGAACATCCAGGTAATGTGAAAAGTTTCAGCCTACAAGCTTGGAGAGCCACTGTCAATCAGAGCAGACCAACACTTTGAACAGCCTGGGTTGATGTAAGGCCCTTTTGCTTTGTGCTTTTGAAACAAAGGGAGCCAATATGATATAATGCAGGATGTTGTTTCTATGATCCTTATTAATGGTAGTACTTGATTCACCTATTAATAGTTAATCTTTCCAATGAAACGAAAAGGGATGTGTGGAAGGATTTGCACCGTCTTAAAACATTCCACTGGTGAGAAACTAGATTTGCCCTTCAGCCCTGGAGATGTGCCAGTTAGATTAGATACACATTAGTGAGGAAATTGCTGTCGTTTTAATGTTACAGCCAGAATAATATTAAACACTTCAGGCAATGGTGCTGTTTTCAAAGTTTGTCATTGTCATAATTGAATTGCAAAATTTTAGCCTTCTCCTACAGTAAGCTTTAACTTGGAAAATCTCCTCTTGGCTTCCGTAACCATTCTGTTTAATGCATCACAAAACCTCTAAGAACTATCTGTCTACATTTGCAATTTTCATTTGTGTTCTTTTCTGGGTAGATTAGATATATTGCTCTTCAAGCAATGTTGCTACCATGCTTTCTTATGTCTTTGTTTTCATCTTCCAGTTTATCTACTTATCTCCTGCCATTGTCTGAACCAAACAATGAAGCTGGCTGGAACAAATTTCTATGTTATGACTTTTGTGTAGACAAATCACATTTAACTGGTGATCAGCTACCCACGTCTACTATTGCTCTCTGTAATTAGGCTGTAAAGAGAAGCATATATGTAGTGCTTGAACATATGTGCGTTATTATGTATACTCCAATGACAAACCTTTCCCCTTCCTACAGAAAAAGCATGGGGGTTGTATCCAATTGCGTGTGGCCTTCCCTTTGAAGACAGCAAAGGCTGGACATTTTACAAGAACTCTGGGGAGGGAGGGGAATCACATGGGGGAGCACGGTTCTATTATCTGTAAAGGTCATCCACCAGGGCAACCAAAGCTGACTCAGTCCCATGGCCAGGTCTGAACCCAGATAATAACAGATCTAAATAATTATTTTCAAATAATTAAAAAACTTTGATATTAAACACAACAGCATATTTAATGTATCATCTAGTCCGGCTCTACAGGAGAAAAATATGCACCACACCGTTTCCCCACAAAGATGCCAGAAAGTCAACCACAGCAGCAATCCTATGCATCTGAGATTTATCTCATATAACTCGACTGCAGTGAGCCAAGGCATAGTCCTAGTTCCTGCAATAATTCCACATTTGTGCTTTGCACTTATCCTTTTTGAAATCCATCTGTTTCGAATGCAACTGATCAAAACCTGAACACAGTCGTCTTAAAAATGACCATGCAAATGCATGGTGCTGGCACCAATATTTCCTATCGCTAAGGGACTCTTTCGACATAATTTCATGAGATCATCCTGTTTGTTGCATGTAGCTGGCCTGATCCTTCTGCACTGATACGGCAATGCAACTTTGATGGATAACGTATTCCTCCCTGCCTCCCTCCCAAAATAGTAATGAAAATTTTGAGCGAAAGAGTTTCGAAGAGCCTGTGGGACCCTATTAATAACTTCTTTCAAATGTGAATGTTTGCCTTTTAGCAACATTCTTTGTCCTTCCTGCTTTGTTTACATGAGATCTTATCTTGGGATAACAGCCTCTGACCTTGCTTCAAGTCAGCCTAACTTGATTAGGAGATGCAGACACCATCCTGAAGTCAAGAATTCAAAGCAAAAAGATCAACTTGGAAATAATCAAAGACTTTTGATTGGCCTTGCTGTTCATCTCAAGATAAGTGAGTATGTAAACAACAGCAGAGTTTATCTCTGGTGGAGGGAGCCTGCATTTCCACAGGGATCTGTGAATGACCCAAGAGAGTCTGCAAACAGCACACAGTAATGTTTTGTTTGCATAACAGCCTTAAATTCTGTACTGTGTGCCATGCTTGCCCTGGAGACTTGCTCACAAATCTTACCTCCATCCTAAGTGCAATTGTGTAGCAAAGGGCAGCTGTATGGGAAAGATGGATCGCCTTCCAGGCTCAATACAGTTTTTACACCAATGTTGGCAGATCATCATTTGTCACTTACAAAGAAAAAAGTAACTTACTAAGGATTAAGAGCCACAGGCATAGTATTAAATCAAGAAAACCCATGATAATGGCCCATAAACATACTGAGCAAAAACAATGGACAGAAAATAATATTTCTCATATAATATGTCAAATGCCTAGGAAACTTTTAGTGTTTTAGCCTGGCACCAAATTGTGAACATTTCACAAATAGGGAGCCACAACAGAAAAAGACTCTCACCCCGCTCTCTTGCCCTCAGGTAGGACACCCAGAGGACAGCTTCATATGAAGACCAAACAGTTCATATCTGAAGTTCTCCCAATATACTAGAAACTTCTACCACACCACCATTCTAAAAACAGTCAACCCTGAAGTAAGTGCCCCATTAAAACAACCAGGATTTCTGGTATATAGGCAAAGGAATGAAAAATGTCTTGTAAGTCATGTAAAGTGGAACCCTTTGATACATGTACACATAAGAAAATGCTCACTTCAAATGAGAAAATTCCTCTCTTCTACACAGCTTTGACAAACAACCTACCCACTCGAACTCAGGATGCAAGGGAGAAATGTGCTAAGAGGAAGGCATGCTTGGCATATCCACACCGTGATCAACTCCTGCCCGGAAACCAATGTCTCCCCACTGTGGAAGGACGTGTGGATCCAAAATTGGCCTCCACAGTCACCTATGGACTCATTGTTAAAACGGTGTTTATGGAAAACAATCTTACTCGGCTACGAGTGATCGAAGAAGAAGAAGAAGAAGAAGAAGAAGAAGAAGACCCATATGATGGTTTTGTAGGTTGGCTAATTTGGTCCCATGAAGCTCCTGTAGATCAGCTGAATGAATTACACAGAGGACCATATGACTGCATCATACTGAACAAGCCACTGAAAAATACCTGTAATGCTGTCTCTTCTCTCCATTCTGGAATTTAATTAGCACTTACCAACATGGTGGAACTGTACCAATGCTTTAATAAAAAGTTTTGTCTTGCTTCCCAATACAGTGCTAGCTAGTTTCAACTGTTAAATCTTTTTACTTATCAGGAAAGTTGTTAAACATCATTTGTTGCCACTGCTAAGAAAGATTTATTTTAAGTTGCTAACATGCAGCATATTTTATGATGTCCCTATTAGTAGGGATAAAATGTGAAAATAACAATAGTTTTTAAAAATGCATCTGGACAGCTTAGAAATAGTCTAGATGCAACTTTGATTATTTTTCCAAAATAAAAGGCAAGCTAATAACAGAAATATTGTAAAAATGAATTTGCCTGCTAAAAATGTGTTGGATGAACATCTAAAAATAACTTCCTTTGAGAAACTTGACACTTGGCAAGCAAGCAAGTATACCATGATAAATTAATAGCTTCAGGTATTTTAGAATCAGACGCTTATTGAAGCTACTTGGCTTTGAGGCACAGGTGGTATTTTAATGCCTTCTTTTTAAAAATGTAACTGTTTATAAACACTTACAGTCAAGTACAAAATGCTTTTTCTAGCATTCATTTCAATGGACATATTTTGAACTTAATCATTTTTTATTCATAACGATCACAAATTGGAACAAAATTGTTACCAAGGGTTACAGATGTGAATTGCATAATCTCAAACTTAATTTACTGCATTCATAGTACAGTAAGTAATTTTTCAATAAGAAGGCAAAATCAAGGAAAGATTAAACACTTAAGCCCCACTGATATCAACTGGACAGTGCAAATCCATCAATATGACTTCTAAAATGCTTTGACATTGGCTATAGCTAATGTTATTAATGACTTCCATAATAATTTTAATGTAGGAAGTGTCTTCACTCAGAATCCCATGCATTGTCATAAAACTCAGGGGAGAATTGTGCTTCTCAGTCCATCCATAGTGGTAGTTCATGTGCTTTCTGTACTTGAGACACTGAATAACACTTGTCAGTCAGAGCAGATGATACTATGCTCAGTGGGCGGATGTTCCAATTTGATATGACAGCTTTTTATATGTTCACATCATAGATACTTGGGTTTACATCCCAAATATTGAGAATTTGTAGCCTAAAACTGTCACTTCTTGTACATAGCTATCTTCCTATTTGTAGGTGACTTTTCAGCCCACAGGTTGTTTTGATTTTGATTTTTCTTTGTCTGTATATTTCCAATATTTAGGCAGTGTTTTATGGTGGTGACAAGAATCTGGGAAATCTAGAGGTAAAGTAAGTGGGGCTGTACAGGCCACTCTGTTCCATTTGGTCTCACTGGCACTCAATTGTAGCTTCATTGCATTCTGTTTTGTGTGCATTTCTTTTTCAGAATCCACAAAACATTTAAATGGCATGCATTTTGTAAGCACTTTTTTTTCTTCCAGAAAATATGCTCCTTTCAATGCTTTGAAAATAAATAAAATGCATCTACTTGCATGCACTTTTTGCACACTAAAACTGCATTGCAAAAATGAGAGAAAGAAGAGAGCAATGTGAATAGGAGTTGCATTCCGACCCACAAGCAAATTCGGCATCATCATATCAGACTGGTCTTCCCAAAAAAACAGACCAAATGAATTCCTCCCTCCTCCTCCTTTGTTGCTGAGCTATGATCCTTTCCTCTTGCAAGGGACAAAAATGTATGCATGCTGTAAAATACATGCTATGAAAACTATGCAAAAGTTATATTTCAAATTGCCTGAGCTCTGCAATTTGCTCACTACTCAAAATTATGAGTGTGTTTGCCTATAAAGAAGGGGAACCTTCCCTTTTCATCTTCTGAAAATAAACTGCTCCACCCAGTAACCAACTACATACTAACATACTTCTGGAAAGTTCTCGACCTTCAGTTGTCTTAAACAAAGACACATGTGTACACATTGGATGGAAGAAGCAACATATCTGAAATGTTACCTCCTTTTTTGTATCTAGGAAAGGGATGGATTGAGGGAAGGCAGGAGAATTATGCAATACGGTAGCAGCAGCAGGAGGAACAAAAAAGAAAACACTGAAAAGAGGAGAGGACAATGCTGCTCACAGTGCAAATGCACATATTTATTCTCAGGCTACAGAGGAAAGCAATCATGGCTGCTGCAGCTACTTATAAGAAAAAGCCCATTGTGCATGTATAAAATTACCGTATTTTTCGCTCTATAAGACGCACCAGACCATAAGATGCACATAGTTTTTGGAGGAAAACAAGAAAAAAAATATTCTGAATCCCAGAAGCCAGAACAGCAAGAGGGATCGCTGCGCAGCAAAAGCAGTGATCCCTCTTGTTGTTCTGGGTTCTGGGATAGCTGCACAGCCTGCATTCGCTCCATAAGACGCACACACATTTCCCCCTACTTTTAAGGAGGGAAAAAGTGAGTCTTATAGAGCAAAAAATACGGTATATACAAGACACTACACACGCTCCATTAACTTGTGAATTAAATTAAGTGAATCAACCAAATTTGCATGCCTCATTTTTTTTAGAAATATATGAAATAGTGAAGGGGAAAAGGATTTAAATCAATTATGAAACAAGACCTTTTTATCAGAGACTGAAAGATCAGCTGCAACCCTGAATGATGTGCCTATAGCAAGTATCAGAAGCAACCAGGTTCAATGGGTGAGGCTGTTATACGAAGGTTGAAGAAATGAAAGATGCGCCCCTGAAGCATAATCCATTCATTTTTTCCTGTAACCTTTCATACCTTTGGGGGAAGGGAGTTGGAGGGAAAAGAATACTTCAAAGATGAAAAAGTGAAATGAGATGCAAAGCAAAAATGCAGTAGCTGTATGCTTTCAAGTTCACACCTTCTTTTCAAACATCCATATGGGCTAATAAAATATTCCATTCAAGGAAGTTGTTATCAGATGGATTGCAGGCCCTGCAGAAGCTACTATGCTTATCAACAAGGTACAATTGTATGCCTAAACAGCAAAGGGAACCTGTCACTTTTCACTGAAAGGATCTGAAACTGCTCAAGAAATTCACTCAAACACGGTGCCGTTCAAAAGCTCTTGCCATACAGGAAATGATAGCTCAGGTTAAGTTTGACAAAAGTCATTCATAGATCCAGAACTCCTGTTAAGTCCAACTGACCACTCAGACGCCTTGCCCAAAACTCCTGCATTGCTGCCAACCAAGTTGGCATTGACCCGGGACATGGCCTTCCGTGTGGTGGTTCCTCGTTTGCAGAATTGCTCTTCCTGGTGAGGTGTGCCTGTCTCTCTCATGACTGATTTTTTTGAAATACGTGAAAATATTCCCATTTACGCAGGTATGAGATGGCCGAGATATACTGGTTATGGCAACCGTGAAATAAATAACTGTCAGGGTATGTGATTGCGTTTAAACGTTTTTAATTGATTTGAAATTGCACCGTTTAAATATTTTGCTGGGCTCCCATGCGAGAAAGGGTGGGATACAAATTTAACAAATGATGATGATAATAACAGACTGCCCAGGACTCTTAAGGATAGCAAATCAACTTAAGTCATGGATAGTCAAAGCACCATTGCACCCTTTTTCCTGCAACATCCCATAGTGACAGAACAAATCAGCCATGGAGGACAGGTTGGCATGGCACACAGAGGCCAAAGAGGAGATTTTAGGGTCGAACTAGACAATATGGCTCAAACCAATGACGCCACTGCAAGAACAGAACCAATTTCTCCTAACACAAAGAACTTCCTCTCACCATAGGCACTGCAGGTTGGGAGGGGAGAAAGGAGATGTTCACTCACACAACATTAGACTTCACCATATCTAACGCCAAGGTTTTTTTCAGCCAGCACTCACTGCAACTCAGGTGGGCGCCATTGCCATTGTAAGAGAACAAGGATGGCATTTGTGGTGAGTTCCAGCACCTCTTTTTCTACAAAAATAGCACTGTCTAACACCATATGTTAACTGTGCGATTGCACAATTAAATGCACATCAGTTTTTAAATCTCCTCTAAAGAGACATAGGGAGGCATGCTTGATTTTGACTATGGTGCATTCAGACTGTTTCAACCCTTCTCCTCTCTCCCACTTTAGACCTAGTGTATATACACAGCACCCCTGAAGTTCCTGCTTGCCCCAGGAGAAAAGTTGTCAGTGGCATTACTAATGCCTTTAAGAAATTAATAATACAGTGGTACCTCGGGTTACAGACGCTTCAGGTTACAGATGCTTCATGTTACAGACTCCACTAACGCAGAAATAGTACCTCAGGTTAAGAACTCTGCTTCAGGATGAGAACAGAAATCGTGCTCTGGCGGCACGGCGGCAGCAGGAGGCCCCATTAGCTAAAGCTGTACCTCAGGTTAAGAACAGTTTCAGGTTAAGAACGGACCTCCAGAATGAATTAAGTTCTTAACCCGAGGTACCACTGTAATAATCTTTATCAATTTTTGAAATCAAATTATCATAACCAAATGCATCATCTAGTTTTGCTGTAAGGGTGAAGAGACAAGGGGTTTTTAATCTATTTATTCTTACTGTTAAGGCTTTATTATAACTGTAGTTTTATTACGCTCATTGCCTGGTTTCAAGCTGGTTTCACATGAAGGCTGGGAATCCAGTGTTTATGCTTCTCTACATTTAAGAAAAATCCCACGAACAATAGCAGCGGAGTGATGAAATGAGCTCACAATTCAGCAAAGACTGGAACAACAAGTTGTAGAAGATTCCCAATAGTCTGCCAACAGCATACTCCCAGGATCAAGTACAGCTACACCCATACAGTGAGCTTGCAAAAGGTAATCCTCAACTCCCAGAAAAGAAGATGACAAATCTAGATTTTTAGACAGAAAAAAAAAATGCTGCACACACACCAGAATAGTGGATTCAAGTCTTCAATGCTGTCATGTTTCATGCACTCTTTTACTGGGGAAGAACAGCACAATAAACCCCATACAATATATCAGCATCCATGTAGATACACCCATGCAGCACTATGTACAATAACCACTGTCAACTGGGTAAAGGCTCCAAGAAAATGGAGATTCCAGAAAGTTAATTGCTGAAATTTAGTGATGAGTTAAACATTTCAGAAAAGGATTTGACACATGAGGCTCCAAAAGCTAAGTTTTCATTAGTATTTGTACTCACCGGTAAACATTTTTGTAACAGCTTTGCTCTGCTTCCGGGCAGAGCACAGGAGCAGCAACCATGGAGGGAAAAACTCATAGTGACTAGCGAGAAGCTCAGCTATAGTTCCAGATAAGCCCGTAGATGTCTGGTCGCCTTCTGCAATGTTACATCCCTCATCCACAGAATCTACAAGGAGGAAGAGACTTTGTTGAGGGGGCTTGGCTCCGAGAAGAGGCAGCAAAATGCACCTGCAAGGAGAAAAAGAAAGGAGAATTATAATAAACACACATAAAATCCAGAAATATATTCTATATGGGTAGTTTTGTTTTTCAGCAAAGGAACTTGTGTTTGTGTGTATGTGTGTTTGCGTGTACACAAAGAAGTGTTCACAGTATGTACTAAAACGAGGTCGCTAGGGAATTCTTTTTCCAGTGTTGTCAGGGAGTGCAGACTCACTTGCAGCCACTTTAATATTTGATTAAGCCTTTTAACATGTAAACAAATGCAGCAGTTCAAGTGCTGAGGCCAACGACAAGCACGTCTGGATTACGCTTGTGCAGCTACCCAACATGGCCATAAACAGGGAATTTCAAGTTTAACAGGAGTTGGATACGCCCAGCAGAATATCTGTGAAATCTGAATAGAGGTTTTATTAGTACCAAGCGCAATCCCAGCTAAAGTTCTAGTAACAACTATTCGCAGCAATGCTCCTGGTCTGTACAAGCCCTATTGGAAGGTACTGCAGATACACAGACCACCATTACTCTCTTGTGCAAATGCCATTCATTTCCATGGCTGAGTGCGCAACAAGTGGATGCTCTCATTATGAGACGGTACACAATCACAAAACCACCCAGTAAGAGCCTCTTTGCATGATCTCTGAAATAACATTCCTGAATTCAAGTCAGTATCCAGTTTGTTTACTCTAGCAAGCAGTTAAGTCCAAAGCTAAAGTGAACTGAAATTGAACCAGCAACTCTTGGCAAGATCAGAGGTGCTTGCTCACCCCTCATTCCTTGGAGGCTACATGATTATTCACTGTATGAATACAAGATATTGCAGGACCATCTACCCAAACCAAACCAGACTGTCTACCTCGTTTGCCCCCACACAAAACGTCATGGTGGTAGATGTCTGAGTCCTTGCATCAGTGCTAGGAAGCAGGCCATAACCTCCCCACCAAAACCGGTTGTGGGGTGAGAGCATATACTAACAGTAAGTACAGCTTCAGAGCTATGAAAGCTTCAGAAATAAAGAAATAGCCCTTCAAGGAAAGGCAGCTCTCCCCTCCCCCAACAGCATGGTTCTCTCTGATCACAAGATTTGCAATTCTTAGGGTGGGGGTGGGAAGGAACAGGCAAAACCCAGAATCACTTAAATAACTCAAGGATGTGTTCGTGCTCCGGAATTCTTTATGACAGCATTTTATCAAAAGATGTGTCATGATAACAACCTGGATAATCCCCTTGGAATATAATTATAATTATAACTCCCCAATAAATGGGATTTAAGTAAAGTGTGAAGTAAAAAAAGTACATGCCAGATAAGAAAAAAAATACAAATAGCTCAAAGTCTGTACAGCAGTACCTCGGGTTACAAACACCTCGGGTTACAGACGCCGCTAACCCAGAAGTAGTACCTCGGGTTAAGAACTTTACCTCAGGATGAGAACAGAAATCTTGCCCCGGTGGTGCAGCGGCAGCGGAAGGCCCTATTAGCTAAAGTGGTACCTCAGGTTAAGAACGGTTTCAGGTTAAGAATGGACCTTTGGAATGAATTAAGTTCGTAACCAGAGGTACCACTTACAGCCAATGAATAACTAGATATTAGAGTTGCGATCCTGATACATTTGCATTCTAGTCAGTCTCACTGAACTCAGTGGGGCTTGCTTCTGATTGAATAAGCCTAGGACTGCACAGCAAACCTATGAAACACATGTTTCCTTCATTGTACAAAATCCCTACTCATCTAATTGCACTTTCTGCCACCATGAAAGTCTTGGTTAACCAGTGAAAAAAGCATGCTCAATTATCCAAACTTCTGATTACTCAACGCAGCTATTGGGATGAATAAGGCTGTAGTACTATTTTATCAACCGGCAGGGATGGGGGTGGGTAGAGCCTTCAACGCAACTTGCATTTTTGCCATACCAAGGAAGTGATTCACCAACCGCTTCCAGTAATGTAGCCCCACTGACTTGACCAGATGAGTGAAAGGCCTGACACACTTCCAAAGTGTCATTTTGTATTACTAACCATTTGCCTTTTTGTGTGTGTTTTTGGACTGGAATTCCCCCATTACCTCCGAGAATCCATAATTTCCATCATACTTTTTCTGAGTGCAGTTCTTTATGTCCCTATTTAAGACCAATTTTATCACAGAGGTGATTCCTAATTTATTTGAAATGGTTAAAAACAATCATTGGTGCATATTTAAATGGAATAGATATCCATTACTTTCTAATAATTGTAAAGAGCTAGGCATTCCATATGTAAGGTAAAACACATTCCATGCAAACTCACCACAGTTCACATTTAGAACAGTTTGGCTATTCCCCATTTCCATCAGTGCATTCTGACTAAGATTTTTAAACACAAATTTAATTCTAGCAGGGGGGAAAAGAATGCATTACAACGCATTACAGCTACCAGTAACTTCCCAAGGCTAGAGCATCATTACAACAGGAGATATCACACAAAAAAGCAGACTCTTTTAAGTGTCTGCTTCAACGCATCCAGAATTTTCTAACTTCCAACTGCATCCTGACCTCAGGCCTATTCAGCAGATTCTTCAATAAGGCAACTGTTCCTGCCATGAAATAGTCTTGACTAGAAAATAATCCCTTTATTTTCAAAAATGCCATCTTGGTTTCAAAGCAGAATGAACTGCGGCTCTTCGCCCCCTTCTCGTGCCAGCCAAATGTTTCGTTATCTCTAGAGAAGGTTAGCAGTCATCTTGAAGACCGTTTGAAAATAATCATGAGCTCTGTAAAATAAGATGTAAACAATATGCCATCAAACCTAATTATATGTTATGTGTGAGAAATCGATCTTCAGAGTGACAACAAGTGGAACAAAGGGCTGGGGGCATCTGAAACTTCTGCATCTCCACGTAACACTGGCTTTACTTCCAAATTCAGATGTGCAGCTGCACTGTTAGCCCCTCTTTATTTGCTTGTTTCTACCCTTTCCCTAGATATTTACCATAGGTAATCACTCCTACCCTTCACTCCTCCCTTCAATAGCAAAAACACCTTTATGAGAAAGGCTCTTCATGTTAATCAGATGCTCTTTAAAAATATGTCACAAAGAGCCCTCCATTCAAATCCACAGCACTAAACTTTTCCAACTTTTGCATCTGTGGGAATCGGCCATCCATGCCATGTAGGAAAAAGGTCTCCACAGAACACCATCAAACACCAGCCAGTCATGTGGCTTTGGTTGGGAGATGCAACCAAGCCGTGCCTTTAATTTTACTCTCCCCTCCCTCCCACTACATTCACGCTTGTGTAGTAATTTGTGATAAAATGTTCATGGCAGCAGCAGCAGCAAATGCCTTTCATCTTGGAAGCTCACACTAAACACGTTTCCCTAGAATGGCTCGTTTTGGGATGATCAGCGCCAACTCTTCCAAGAGAGTGCTATTCAAAAACATCTCCTGCAACCTTTGCCAACACTCCTGCAAGTGGTAAAAACCTGCACTGCTACACCAAGAAATGGGAATCTGTGGCCTTCTGAATTTTGGCTGCCCTAGTCGGTATGACAAACAGTGAGAGGTGATGGCAGTGGGGTCCAGCAACACTCAAAGGTCTCTGCACTACATATTTTACACATGATTTTCTTTATCTTATGTAAATCGGGTTAGCCATGCAGGCATCAAAATTGGACGACACACTCAGTTCCTAAGAAACAGCACAAATTGGTTTATGTGTTCATTGATCATTTGGATATAAATTCAGCCTCATCTCACCAGAATAGGTCTATAAATCCAGAAGACCATATTCCCTCATATGAACCTGTCTGGGCTCTGAGATATTCAGGGGAGCCTCTTTATCTTGGTCCCACCACCCTCAAAGGCATGTTTGGTAGATACGCAGGACAGGGCCTTCTCAGTGGCTGCTCCCAGACTTTGGCTGCTCCCTTCCTAGAGAATTACGATTGGCTCCCTCCTTGTTGACTTGAAAGGGCTATTGCTGTCCTGTTTTTATTGTAATGATCTATATGTTTGTGTGTGTATGTTTAAATGTTGTTTTTTAAATGAAAGCTTTCCCCCCCTATGTTTCACCTGTTTCTGTTTTAGCTGTAAGTTGCTTTGGGTTCCTGTCAGGGGGAAAGGCAGGATATCAATAATGATATAAATTAAGAAATAAATGAAGATCACCCACAGGAAATCTCAATACACTTTTCCAGCAGCACTTCTCCTTTTGTGACATTTGGTGCCGTTTTCGAACTGCTCAACTGCACCAATTCTATACAGCTTCTGAATTCACCTGAATTGCCAATTCATTTCAGCGCTAAGAGAAGTATCTTGCCAGAGTTATCCGCTGAATGTTTGGACTTACAAGATTTACAGTTGCCTCTGGATCTCTCATTTCCTTTCCTGAATCTATATCATACAAACAAGAGGCTTGACAAATCTGAAAAGAATTTAATGTGATAAAAAGAGGATGCACTTCTGCAGCAATCAAAGGATTTCCCTGGATAGATATGAAAAGGAAGCTACAGACAATGGAAGAGTAGAGACTTCTACTCACAAAGGCTTCCTCAAAGGACACAATAATTCTTTATACGAAGTTTAAAGTAACAATACTGCATTTTATTTTATTTTTGCTCCAGTAAAGCCACTGGTACCTCTCCCCACTTCCTCCATATATTTCAACTTTCACCTTAATAAATTTAACATAACTTTCATTGATCTAAGTACTTGAGGGGAAGTGTAAAACCACAGAGGAACTGCACAATGTCTGGATAGTTCAGTGCAAGACTTTGTAGTCATTCTTCGGAATTAGCAGACTGTGAATGCATCCTTTTTAACACAGATGACAAGAACTGGTTGTAGCTTTCAAAAGGAACCAGTGCCATCTACGATGCTATCAGAACTTCCTTATCCCTGGAAAAAAAAACACCCCTACCTAACATTCAAGAATTTCCCTCATCTCCTTTACAGCCACACAAAACTGCTGGTTCAGTAACCCTGAAATGCACCAGGATCCCTAGATCCTTTCTCATTTTTCCACTGATACAAAATATGCTTTAGCCCCCAAAGCATATGACACAACACTGGGTGCTACTAGATTGCATTCCATTTCTTTTATTCATTTTATTATTTTGCATTCCATTTCTTTTATTCATCTTCAGGACATCATTCCACGCATCCTGCATAATTCCTCAATGTCCATTTAAGTTAGCTACTTCATAGGCAACCCCCCACTTTCCCTCCTGAAGTTACCAGCGAAAAGAATGAATAAAACAGGTTTAAGGACTATGGCTGCAACACTAACTTTGTCTGCTGAAGTTCTGTTGAATCCAGTGGGACTTATTCTCTAATACTTGAACGAAGGACACTAATTCCTACTTGATCGTTTATTTATCTCTTTATCTGTTTCATACACTTCTTGATTGCAACTAACAAACCGACAAACCTCAAAGTGGTTTACAAAGAGATTTTACCATGTAGTATTTCCCCATCTTCGCTTTGTTTAGTTCTTCATTCGCCTTGCACTACACTGCATTGCTAAACTCCAAATGGATTACTCTACCTATCTGTTCAAGAAAATGCAACTTTGCTCAAAATAAGTAATCATAAACCTGTGTGGCAGGTGTTAATATTCTAGGTGGAAATCTTTCTGCCAAAAACACACCAAATATTATTATAATTATCTGGCTGGGTTTCCCCAAGTGAATCAAATAAGATCAGGGTCTGATATCCTATGGTCACATGCTTGGCCTTTTGGGGGTGAAATTGAAAACATTATTATCTGGGAGCAAGTCCCAATGAATTCAGCAGGACTTACTCCTGAGTAGATGTGCACAGGATTGCACTGTTAGCCTGCCTTTTCTAGTTGCATTATAATTTATGAGCAGGCAAGCAGAGTGCATGGTAGTTCATCTTTCCATAACCGATGACCTTCTTCATAGTCTTTTTGACAGCAGCAGTACTCTGAATGGTAACGATGAATTCAGCACTTTAAAGGTTGCAAAGGGAAGGTCTCACACATACCACCATGTAATACCCCGCATTTATCTGTACTGACTTTCATCTTCCTTTTTCAATTCCCTTAGTTAATCCAGCCAAGCAATGAGTTCAAATGGATCACTGTATCATCTTATAGCTTACACTTGGACACCAACACAGCAACCATAATTATGAAATTTCAGTGTCTCCTCTTTCGCTGTCACTGAATCCTTATATAAATCTGCTTTAGCCACAGTCTGCTTTAGACATAGATATCTTTGTTTCATCATTTTACAGATCATTAATATGTTAAGCTCATGTCCTCCAGGTTTATTAAATGGCTGCAATCTATACTGTAACAGTCAGTACTAATACAGAAACAGACTATTTTGACATACACTTAAAATGGTAAAATTACAGCAAAGGTAGTGCCTCTCTATTTTTGGTAACATGCTCTGTAAAATCAAGCTTTCCCCCTTATTTGTTCTCTTCTACTCACAAGCTGGTTCTCTAGGTCATAACATATGCTAAATCAAGCAGAATTCCTTCTCTACACCATCTTGATTTATAACTAAAGCAGTTTGTAGCACAACCATGTATGGTGGTTTGTTCCATCTCTCCTAACGAGTCCGTTAGAAAGGAGAGAGAGAGAGCACTATGTAAAAAAGATTCACTTTTTGAACTGACTCATACATAATAGAACCAGTAACAAAAACTTAGAGTGAAACTCTGCAACCAGCAGAGCTGAGGGGAATTAAGAGTCCAGCAACATTTGGAGAACCACAGGTTCACCACCCTTGGTGTCAGTTTTTAAGGACACCCAGTCATTTCAAAGAAAACAACTATATTCCCACAATCCCTTCTATACCCTGAAAATCAATTTTCTACCTCTTTCCCTTAACTTCTGGTATTATGCGTTGCCTATTTGTCAACAACAACAACTGGAACACAGCAAAATTAACCTATGTTCACTGTATGTTTGCCATAACTGTATCTTGCTGTAGTCATTTTTGCTTTTCTAAAGTTAATTTCTTCACGTTCTGCAGGTTTCAAAAATTATGTGCAAGTACAATTCAGCCTTCCAACTTTGCCCCTGGACAAGTTGCTTCTTTCTGCCATTCATCCTTTCTCCTCCGATTTCTTTCCCATCTCCTTTGAAGTAGTGGGTTGTCACAAAGTGACTCACCTCAGCACCAAAAGCTGAGGCATAAATCACACTAACACTGTTAACAAAATCTATTCCACAATTTATGTCTTCAGCCTCCTAGATATACCATGATTGCAAGAGGAAAAGGAAGACTTTTAAATAGCACTGTTCCACCTGTGCTACCACCACCGCATATTTTATATGGCCATTTCCCCCAAAAGTCCTACTAGTGATTTAATGCAAAAAGTTCTTGGAAGTCCCAGAATTCTGGGTTTGGAGATTTAGTAAAAATGACAGACAAAGCAAGTTAAGAACACCAAAATGAATTGAAAGAAAAATTGTTCAATTTTCTCTGCACTGTGTTTTAAGCTGTTTATATCTATCCAAGCAATGGATGTTGGGGAGGGGCGAATTCTCATGACATTAAGTCATACTGAAAGCAGTTGTGTCCAGCTGGATACAGTGCTGGCCGTGGATGGCAAGGGCTCAAATCCCAACTCAGCAATGGGTCACTTGAGGTCTGGGGTAAGTGACTACTGGCAAGCAACACAGAGTTGCTCATGAATAAACACAATAGGGACAAAAAAGCCCATTACTGACATAGAAGTCATAGTAAACAAAAAACTGCAATCTAAAACATATGTAAGTTGTGAATGCTTATGACTTAGTTATTTACTTTGTTGCTTCAAAACAACAGAATTCTTGTTAAAGTGTGGATTATGAAGTAATCTAGTTGACTCTATTTGTTCAAGTTACCGTATATACTTGAATATAAGCCGACTTTTTCAGCACATTTTTAATGCTGAAAAAGCCTCCCTTGGCTTATACTTGAGTATATTATACTGCTCCTTCCTCCTCTGCTGCCTTTGCCGCTGGCGGAGGAACGAGCCGCCCGAAAGCAGCCCTTTTGGGCTGCTTGTTCTTCCTCCGCCACTGCCGCCAGCGCCAGGTTTGCGGTGTGTTGAACCAGCTTATACTCGAGTCAATAAGTTTTCCCAGTTTTTTGTGGTAAAATTAGGTCCCTCGGTTTATATTTGGGTCAGCTTATACTTGAGTATATACAGTATTCCTTGTGCCAAATGTACAGACCATGTAGTTAGTGGGGAAATGTTGCAACCTAGAAAAATGAAAGAAAACTGTCACTTGGTACAACTAGAATCTCCAAAGGGTGAGGCTGGCTCATTTTCAAAAGCCAATAAATGCACTGATGAATTAGGAACATGTGTAGAAATGTGTAGCTGAATTGAAAGGCAAGGATGAAAAGCACAGTAGCAGGAATGGCAAACAGGTCAGAACGAGGTTGATAATCATGATTTTATTTATACACCCATGCATTTTGATCAAATGATCTTCAAGGTGGCTTACAACCTAGTTAGTGGGGCAGGAAAACTGAAAAAAAATCACATCTGGCAATCAATGTGCCCTATTGGTTTCAGATAGCACAAGGGTAGCCGAGTCTACAAAGACCGGGACACAAATTTTCATGGCCCCCTAGCAGCTATGGTGGCTCATTTACAAGAAGTTATGTGTTTTGTGTTAATTCTGGAAGTGTGTACTAGATTCTGACCAAACTAAGTCTCCTAGAGCACAATATACATCAGGAGGCTTAGTTTGGTCAGAATACACTACACTGCCAGACACAAAATACATTGGCATTATTTTCAGCTGTCCGAAGGAGACCTGGTTTGTCTGGCTGTTGGCAGAGGACAAAAGATCCCCAACCCCTTGCTTCTGCAATCCCAGGGCAACTGGGGCACTGGTTTGGGGGGGGGGGGGCTGGTGTGGAGTCTGCAGCTCTTCATTCACTGTTCAATGGCTAGTGAAAGGTTAGTTCTTCCAGGATTTAGAACAGCTGGTGCAGTTTGATGACATACTCATCCTATTCTGTGTTCACATCTGCATTGGCATGAACAAAGGGGAAAAGCATTAGGTATGGACTCTGTACAGTTTTCACACCTTGTTTGGTGCAGGGATATATTTCCTGGTGATGTTGGGTAACAATACCCCAAGGCTACCATCTGCTTAATTTTGGTCTCTAATGGGCACCTATAACGGAGATCCCTGAGAAAGGGACATGTCTAGTCAGGCAAGGTTGGGATTAACTTTAACCTGGATACAAATCGCCCAGACAAACCTGCAGAGATTGCGTTGCTTCATGTTCCTCTGTCTACAGTCTACTTCCATTAAGAAAGACGGCTTTTCTCAGTCAGGGAAAATAGAGTAAGCCCAATTCCTAGCACTCAGAAAACTGTCGCTTAATCCTGGCTGGCTCATGTAAGTTTATCAGAACCAAAGCTGGTTCTGAACAGTGCATAGTTAAACTATGGAATTTGTTTCCACAAGAAACCAGGATGGCTTTAAAAGAATTTAGCAAATTCAAGAAGGATAAGACTCTCAAAGGCTACTAGCCACAATGGCTATATTTTCCCTCCACTGGTTGGGGTAGTATGCTCTGAAATACCAGCTTCTGTGGGCCAAGAGGGAATCTGTGCAGCACATTTCTGTGGTAAACTACGTAGATTTTGCATTAATCTAAGTCTCACTCATCTCCTGAACTGCTCTCCCAATCAAACGGAGTGGACTATTCTCTGCTTATTCCCATGAATATCCAGCAAATATGAAGCACAAAGAGTTGAAACAAGGGAAACATTTGCTTAAAAACAGCCTTTTTGTGTGAGCATGCTGGTAATGCTTCAGAAACCCAGTGGCAGAGTAATAGCATCTCATTTCTCTAGAACGATTGTTCAACAAGACAGAAAGCGTATCCTGGTAGGAAAGCCAACATCCTCCCACTCCTCTAACGCCTCAGGCTTCTCTACTGGGATTTCTTCCAGTGAGTTATCCCCCCCCCACCAACAGCTTTCAATTATTTTGAAATAGCAAAAGTCATCCTAAAGGAATTAGGCTATTGCCTCAGATCTAGAGCAGCATATTTAAAGGAGGGAAATCTAGCCGTGAGTAAGAATGCTATCGCTTATGCAAAGGAGATACTATAAATTTCAAACAAAAACAAAAACAAATCACATGTGCCCCAACCATTAAAGCATGGGCAAGAATAAAACAAGCAACTGGCCAACATCCTTGTTACATTCTCGACAAATAATTTCCAAACTTTATTTTAATCATATTCATTCCCTCTAATAGTAAACTTTGTGTTGATCAGAAGCGGAGCCGAAGTCAAACTGGGACAGAGACAAGGCAGAGAGGGCTCTGTATGCTTTGGAGCTTTGCCAAGTATGCATTTCCTTTCTGGTTCTGGGTGTTTTGTTTTTCTTCGAAAAGCAAAAACAACAACCAAGTCCTCCTACAGGAAAAGAATGACGTAAGGAACAGTTAAGAAGTCTGAGAGTGACAAAAACAGTCACCTCCATCAACAAAGACAGGAGGCGGGTGGGTAGACATAAAATGAAATAGGAAATACAAGCCCTCGGTGGGTTAAATGACCATTCGTTCCAAGGGATGACACTCGCTTCCCTTCAACCTGAGGCCTGATGGGAGGGGAGAGAATTAGGGTTGAGGCCTGCACACCGGCTGGAGCCTATTTGCTGACCCACTGTTCTCCGTCCTTCAAGTTCAATCCCAATATGGGTGTGCCCTCTTTGCAACATAAATGGTCCTTTGGGAGTGATTAATAAGAAGGGGAGGATAGAGGAGAAAGCACTTTCTCTAACCCAAATGCATTGGTTCAATAGAACAATTTAAACTCTATGGGGAAGATTCTCAAATGGGGAGCAGAAGAAAAATTGGGAATTCACTCTCCGCACTCTCCCATACAGCACTAGCAGAGAGACATAAAACTACTCTGCCCAACACTGTATCACTCATGAATGCTGCAAGGGGAACCTCAGTACTAACTCTAGTACCACATGATTTAGCCAGCAGGCAAGCATAACATTTTCTTCTTTCCCACCCTCTCAAAATCTCCTACCTCCAATCCTGTCATACCACACCTAGCTCTGGAATGGACTATGGCAAAATACTTGTGTGTGTACCCACTTATAATTCTCTCTCTCTCACACACACACACACACACACACACACAGCAGGATGGAAACTTAAGTGACTGTTACTGTCATAAACTGTCCATGCCATAAACTGCCCATACCTGGAAGCACAAAGTCATTCACTGATTGAATGTCAGGCTACTATAAGATTAGCATTGCAATGCTTGATCTCTTAAAAAAGAACACTTGAATTCTTTGCGAAAGCTAAGTAACTGCTTTGTGACAGACAAGGCCTGCTTTGTCAGTACAAGCTTCCCTCTGCTTCCCACATCACTGATTTTCTATATGGTCCAGGTATATACCAGGATGGCGGTACTTGTGTTTTCTGGAGCCAATATATTTGCAAGCCATTTCCAATTAAGATAGTAAACCTCTCTCCGAGGTTATATTGCTTTCGGTCATACTGGTCTCTCTAACCAGCTCTAACCAGATAATATACAGAGAGCATTAATATTTAGCACCTCTATAGCACATTCAAGTGTTCAGTGCCAATGTATATTTTCTGAGTTATCCTTACAAGCCTGTTTTATCAAGACTTGAGAACCTCCAGACCAAACTAGACTCAACAGGAATCCTAATTTGGCCCATGAGGCAAATCCTCACAAGCCAAACACAATCACCCTACACCTGATGTCATCTATGACGGCCATTGTGTGGCAGGTTGCAATGAAATGAGCGGTGTGGAAATAATCACATCATTAATTGTCTTAAATTTGAAAATTACATAAAATAGCAGACAATGAAACTTTGTCTTTGGCAGAAATCAAATTGCGAGAGAACGGAAACAGCACTGATTGTGACAGAGATGGATTGGAATAGAAATCCCTAGTTACCACTGACTTCTAGGACTATATACCGCAGATAAATTCTTTAGCACTGTTATGATGGAGAGGAGAGGTGCAACTATGCCAAAGGAGAAGGGGATCTAGACTGAGCTGGCCACTTCTGATTCTTCCTCTCCGCGCCCACAACTCCATTGTTTCTCTCTTCTCTCCCCATCATCATAGCTACTGCCGCTTCACCAATTTAAACTTGCTCCACTGTATCATCATCATAATACTTCTTCCTGCTAGAAACTTGAGATACATTAGCACTGCCATAGGGGATTTAGCTGCAGTCCCACCCTCAACCAGGTAGCATAATGGTATGAGTCACATAAGCATTGGTAAAGTGAGTCATGAAATTAGCCATCTAGGGTTTGCCGATCAGAAGGTCAGCGGTTTGAATCCCCATGACGGGGTGAGCTCCCATTCCTCAGTCCCTGCTCCTGCCAACCTAGCAGTTCAAAAGCATGTCAAAGTCCAAGTAGATAAATAGGTACCGCTCCAGTGGGAAGGTAAATGGCGTTTCCGTGCCCTGCTCTGGTTTGCCAGAAGCGGCTTAGTCATGCTGGCCACATGACCTGGAAGCTGTCTGCAGACAAACGCCGGCTCCCTCAGCCAGTAAAGTGAGATGAGCACCGCAACCCCAGAGTCGTCTGCAACTGGACTTAACTGTCAGGGGTCCTTTACCTTTTTAAATGCAGTTCAGAACTAATAGTTATAACAAACTAACACTCAGTCCCTTCCATCACCTATACAAGGGAAAACCTTTGCAATAACCATTTAGCTAAAACTTTGGCCACAATGCTTAAATCACAAGACAATCCAAAACTGTCAGCAACATATATATTGGGATCACCAGGTCAAGGGATAATAAAAAATCGCACAGGTACATAGAGGACTGTAAAGACATTAACAGCACCTGCTGTTATGGCAAATCAACTTTTATGTTTTAATCTGGACCACAGTGTGCGGATGTATTTTGATCAATTTGTTCATATCAAAAGTTTCCTATTCAACTCTATTCCTACCAAGCAAATGCTGGTCTGATATCTGAGCAGGTTACCCACAAACATACCACAGGCAGAAGGAGCTCCAGGTTTTTTCAGTGATGAAAAAATTGTATAAAGCCCAAAGAGACCAATGGCCACACAAATTCTCTACCATATATATTTAAATCCATACTATAAGGCATATAGTCCAACTATTTAACCCCTTGTTTTCAACAGATATTGTGCTGGCTTCAAGGTTGTCTTATCTCAAGGCTTAGTCCAAGAGTAGCCCATTGTACTCCACATCAAGCTGCTCTTGAAAAGAAAGGGAGATTGCGGGACTCAAGTACCAACTAATGATAAGGATAGAAGTTGGAAGGCGTGAGAGACAGGAAGACACCAGTACAGAAATGGAAGATATGTATTGCACACCTAAGGGCGATAAAGCAAGTTGCTTAGGATCTCTCTCTGGGAGCAGATAATAAAGTTCTTGGACTAAATTAAGGACTAAAAAGAAAAAGGGACAAAATTCCTTGATTGTTTAAGAGCAGTGTGTTACTTTGTATCTTGTAACATTTGTTTGTAACTATTTTAGGAATGCTTCCAATAAAGCTCTGAAATTCATTCTTGTGGTGGAGAGCTTATTCACTTCTGTTCTGCGCAAGGTCCAGATCATGGATTCTGTTGCAACAACATACTAGCCATGATGACTATGATTTGCTTCCACAGTCAGAGGCAGTAATGTTGCTGAAACCGCTGGGGGTGGGGGTGGAGGAATGTTCTTGTGCTCAGGTCCTGTTTGCAGGTTTCCTACGGGCATCTCGTTGGCCACTGTGAGAACAAGATGCTGCACTATATGGTCCTTTGATCTGAACCAGCGGACTCTTCTTATTGCCCTTAAGAACTTATATTTGCAATCCTAAAAAACATTTACTTGCAAGCTCCATTCAATCAATAGGATTCACCTTATGGCTAAACTGCTAGTTATAAACTCCTGCTCCAACCATCTTGAATTACAATCTTGAGAGCAACCGCCACTAAAATGGTCCCAAGGAAACATGCATAGGAGTAGGGCGCATGGCATGCCTAATTTTCTCTGATGTGTACCTGCTTGAAGAGGCTTGCATTTTCTGGAGACTCATATGAACAGCTGTTAGGGATGGTACAATCTGATGCACTTTTGCAGCTGTGTTCAAGTCTATTAAAATTTAATTTTCATGGCCTTTGAAGCTTAGAAGCTTGAAAGGGAGGCAAAGGGAAACACACAAAACAAAGACTGGGAAAGGACAACATGAGATGTTTCATGCAAATAAAACCTCTGTGCACTGCAAACAGGCAATTATTTGCCTGGACTTTCATCAGATACCTTTGCTAGAGAGGTAGCTCCCTTCTCTGCTACAGATGGAGAGGGAGCAGATAATAGACAAGACGTTCCAGACAGCATTTCCTCCCCTTTCCGTTACCTCTCTCCTTGCATATACCTCAGGCAGAATGTAACAGACATTTCTCTTTTGTACCATGAACAAAGGCAGTACGATTACCAAAGGATTTGCCTGCTTTACACCAAAGGTGAATCCGTATAAGGCTTTTGATATTATAACATTTGTAGAGTTATAACGCATAGGCACAATTACAAGCTAGATGCCTAACTTGTAGACATGTGGCAGAATTCTGCGATTCACCCTCCACATGTTTCTGGGCTCCCAACTCCCCTCAGCCCCAGTAGACATCGATCATGGGAATTGTAGTTCAAAACATGTGCAGAGTACCACGTTTGCTACCTTTGAGCTATAGCATTCCATGGCTTGTGCCACCAAGCCTGATGTGTTTTAGAGCACAGAGATGCACCAAGCCATATTTTTCTTTGGCATGAGTCCAGGGACAGCTTTTACTCAAACTTTGGGAGTACAGTCCTTAAATGTTTTAAGACACACAAAAATGTTTTTCTTGAGTCAAGATTGTCCAAGGGAGCTTGTGTTTCCCCCTTCGCATGCAGCAGGTGGATTAGCTCACCTGTACAAATCTGGAGATCTACCCTATCAGCACGTTTCTTCAACACTGTTTAGAAAAATCTATAAACCCCTTAATAATAATAATACCTATGTGGTATACATAAAATATACACACTCCCATCCTCAGGATATATATTGCAATCTGGACTGTAGAAGTAGATCTGCAGGAAAGGTGAATTGCTGAAAAGTAATGTACCACAACAGGAGTTGGGACACTCATTTTCTAATCCCACAACCACCAGCAGCAGCTTGAGGCAAATATTGCAGGTAAAATGAAAAAAATAAAATAAAAATACTTTGCTTTCTTTATGTGCACAGGAGATAGAAGATGCTGTTTGTGTGCAATGTCGAGGCAAAAGGTGCTCTTCTTGTCCCCAGGTTCATTGCTTTTCAGGCTCAAAAGCACCTCTGCAGCTGATGACCAGAAAAGCAAAGTGTAGACTATTTGCTCACCTTAAGACCCATATCATATAACTGGCATATGCTGTCTATATGTTAAAGACCACTGAGAACACAAAACACATTTCAGAAGTATACTTATGGAGGTATTAGGTGTGCAAATGAAGCATCCTGTCACAGCTGTGGGTAAATTCATTTATAATGCACATACATCTCTTGAGAACAGCACAAGTCTTTCGGGTTCCTTCCAAGAGTGCTTGGTTTTTCCTAGGCAAATTGCATCTCAGTTGTTCCACAACAGTCATGATACTTAACTACCCACCTTTTCCGGCTGGCCCTAAACAGGTTCAGAACCTAAGGTGTTACAGTATTATTATGCATACGGTCTCTCCAAATGTCCTAAGCACATACAGTATTTAAAGTGGTGTGTATCCTTTCAGAGTCAAATAACTTCAATTAGCAATCCACAGGCTCAATCCTGCATCTGCATGTAGCCTTATTCATTCTGCCTGTGGGCCTAACACTGGTGTCCATTTCAAAAGAAACCTCTTTACATCCTAGTTTAATAGCAGTTTCTTTAAAAAAGAGAGAGAGAGAGCGTGCTACAAGTTAAGAGTTGAGGCTACAATATTTTCTCAAAAGGCAGAATGGCTTTCAATGACTTCCACCATTTTTTTAAAAAAAGTGAGAAAAGACACTGAACTCATGTAAACACAGTTTATTCTCCACAGTACAAGGCCTGCTTTTGAAACATGAACATCATGTGGTGGTCCTCCACACACAAAACAGCTGGAAGTCTTACGCTAGGTGAATTAGACCTATCAAACAGGATCTCCAAACATTCAGGTATGAAGTCTCTCCATATGATTAAGAGATGCTTACAAACATTAGCACTGTCATGCACAAGTACTGTTAAGAGCCACAACAAAACCCCTAGAACTTTCTCTCAAAAGGGCCGAGTCCAAAGTTATGTCTCTTATCAAGAAAGCTGCAGTAAATCCTGTCTTTCCACATGGCTGAAAACCAGCCCGGAGAGTTGGGCTATCAAAGTCAACTATTGTAAAACATTTGACAGTCAGTCCCCATTATGGTGCAAACATCCATTGCCTCCTTCATATACTTCCATACTTTGAGATCACCTAACAAATGCTGTTTGTGACATTATTCATATTTAGACTTTAAAGCACACGAGTTTCAGGTTTCTAACAAGTCTGTGCAAAACACATACTATTCTTGTTTTCAATGTAACCAGATTCAAATCTTCATTTTTAGTATGTGCTTCCCCCACCCCCCGCCACCCTGAAAGAACTTTTACAGGCATTCCAACAACAGAGCTTCAAGCTGCAGCTTTGTTTACAGGTATTTAAAAATGCAGTTATAGCACTTATACTTGAGTAATAGTTGCAGCCAACAGATACTTCTCTTAGCTTTTATAGAGACTGTAGCCCTTGAAATTCCAGGGTTTCAAACAATGATAACCTCCATCTCATGTTTTATTAGGCATAGATGCTCTCAAATTAGCTTCCTCATCATTACTTACCAATGCTATTAAGCTGCTGCAATGACTGCTACTTTCATCCCACCGTGGCTTGCAGCTGTTTTATCCAAATATTAAAGAGAAGAGTTGAAAACTTGCATAATTCCTTTGCAGAATGGACAAGGTTCCACTTCCAATTCAATTTAACCAAAGCAACAGAACAGAAGAATGTAGTACTGTTGTTTGACATTCATTTAGCACCAGTGTGCTAGGTGCTGCATAAACATAAGTAGCAAGTCACTTTCCAAAAGAACTGTTGAAGAACAGTAATGTGATTCTACAATGGTTCAGAAAAGGGTTACAGACGGAAAATGCCTAGCAAATGAGGAGTGGAAGATACTTCTAGACATAGGAATGCGAGATAGCAGGCACTTGAACAGGAGGAACTAGGAGGAGGACTAAGAAGGTAAACAGGAGTGTTGGAACCAGCTGCTCCCTGGCGACTCTGCACAGTGGTTCTCTCTATTTCTGTGGTACAGCTCCCAACAACTTGGCAGATGTTTCCACCCAAAAGTGATACTGCCCCTCACCCCATCCAAAACTGAACCAGTTTTCTGGAGACTACAGGTGGATAATTACAGGTGGGAATCCATTAATAGCCCAATCTGAGCAACTCACATGAACCCACTGGAATCAGCCACATAAGAGATTTCGAAGTGTAAGGCTGAGGCTGGATATGACATAGAACCAATATAAACAATTACTGAGAATAGTATAAAATGGGAGAGATGGAGGAAGAGTTTGATTTACCTTTATATTCCACCCCCTCAGCCTACTGAATTACCTCCTATCAGTGTCTTAAAATACTAACTATGGTAATATACCCTTTTGCGCCTCCATTTTAACAGTGGATGCTAGGATCCCCCTTGGCCTTTCCTATTCAAGTGAAGTGTTCTTTTTTATAGCACTAAATTAGGATCCCTCAAGAAGCCTGAAAATGCAGACAAAGGTAACAAGCTTTTAACACCATTAGTAACTTCCAATGCAGGCTATGAACACTGGAAAATTACAAGCCAGCAGGAGAGTACCACCACATTTGTTTATACCAGCTTTTGCCAAACAGATGTTTTGGATGACAACTCCCATCAACTCCAGGCAGCATGACCAATAGTCAGGAGTGGTGGGAATTGTAGTCCAAAGTGACCCAGTTGGTATGAAAAGTTGGACCACCCTGAGTTAGATGATTACCCACAAGCCACAGAAGGGAACATCTTACCACGATAACTCAGTGACAGCAATACCAGCCAACATGGTGCTCTCCAATGCTGCTGGCACACATCTCCCATCATCTCTCAACACTGGTCATGCTGGCTGGAGCTGATGGCAGCTATAATAGAAAACATCTGGGGAGTACCATGTTTGTGACCCTTGGCCTATACCACCTTGGTAAACCAGCCATCAGCAACACTACCTGCAGTAAGGAGGATACTACTTTTCCTGGATTTCTGACCAGGTGTTGATGCAAAGTAAAGTTCTCTTTCATCAGTGACATTTTAGACATTCGATACATACCATGCTAAGGTGCCACTTGGTGAATAATGACGTGCATTCACCCACTATTAAAACAGCTTTTATGAAATTATGAGTGCTGGGCCTCAAATCAAGAATGCATTTCTTTGTGTGGTTATTTACACAGCCACCTATTTCACAGAAACAGTTTAACGAAATAAGTGTAACTGGACAACCGCTGGAACTTTAAAAAAAAATCATTGAAACTTTCAGCTTTCATAAAATACTCTTGACAGCATACTAAATTAACTCTAATTAGATGAGCTTGGCAAGTTCGTGAGCAGCATTTATTCTTTTCACACATTCCCAAGGCATTGCTTCTCGTGTCTTCTCTCCCCCTGCAGGTTTCTCTGTCCCTGTATTCCCAAAGGAATGATTTCAGGTTTTAGACACAAGGTAAGGCTTCACACATGGGAAAATGAGACCCTTGTTAAACCCTCATGTCAGCTCTTCAACCTCCTTCAAAATCCTAGTTCAATTATTGTTTCCCAGGTATAAGGCCTGGAAGGTATCACAGTAAAGAACCAAAAAAAAAAGTGAGCTCAATCTTTTTTCATGTTGACCAATATGGGATTTCCCTTGTTGCATAAAGCCTAATCTTTTTAGAGGAATCAAGTTACAGTTGGAAGTAATTCATGGCATCACCAAGATGAAACTAAATTCATTAAATCCCTCAATAACCACTGCCTCACACATTTTGTTTTGTTTTTGATACTCTTTGTTTCTAGACTTCCCCAAAAGTTCCAAGTCAGAAGTAGTTCACAACACTAGTAAGAAAACCTGTGTCTTTAAAATCAGGGCCTCTTGTCAATACAACCATGGAATCAGTTTCCTTTTTGTTATATGAAAAAGAAAAAACCTCTTCCACTTTATTCCCCTCCTCCTGCCCCTTCTAAAGCCTCTGTTTTCAATTACTATGCAATCTTTGGAAGATGCCAACATGGAATGTGTTTCCAAGTGTATCTTGTCTGGCAGCATCTGCTATAAACGGGTATTTTCCATACGGGCCATTGGAACAATTCATGCAGGGAGACAATACCATGTAAGAGATAGGTTTTACCTGTTTTTATGGCGGGCTGTGTTTTTATCTGATCAGGAGATATGAAGGAAGCAGATACAGGGTGGGTGTTTTTTTGTTTGATTTACCTTTTAAATGCTTCAGCTGGGTTTCTCTCGCACTCCCCAGGCTGCAAGAGACTTTGAACAGCAGGATCTCTCAGTTTGTCCTCGAATCCCTGAATCAGTCCACTGCGACAGATTTGGGCCACTAACCCTCTGATAAAGCCTCCCACACAGAGAGTGTCCGAGTCCTGAGCCCTGCAGAAGTGGAAAGCCAGGGCTTGGTGATGTAAACCCCTTTGCAGACTGGCAGGAGAGCTCGGCCACAGTAATTCAGTACAGAGGGCTGTTTTGCCACTACCCGGCCCTCCTACCAGCAACACACCCCAGGCAGCTCCCTTGCCAGGGACGACGCAAGTATTAGTCCCAGAGTTCAGCACAACGGATGGTTTGTTGGCAGTGCTGTTGCTGCAGCTTGTCTTTTCCTGCAGGCAGTGCTGAAGCTTGTGAAAAACCCACTCTCTACAATAAAACTGTTTCCCCTGCAGCAAGCTGGTTTGAGCCATTTTACAGACTTTCTTCTCTGGGACAGGTCAGAAACGACAGCACATCTTTAAAAGTTGCACTCAAGGCAGGTCCTTAAATCCAAGACGACACGTGCGCAGCATGGAGCTTGGTCACTGGGCAATGCAATCCGCGAACCTTTCATCCCCTCACATAATGGTCAGTAGCATCTTTGCAAAGCCGAAGAGGCATCTTTCCATCCAAATGCTCTCCTGATTAGCACATGGTGTATTGCCGATCATCCGATTTAGAAATAAAGCTACGTTTGATACCAAGGCTCAGAAATACTTCTCATATGGCTTAAAAGGTCATGCAATGCCATGGCTACAGCTGCAGCTTATAGTGATGCATTTCCCTCTAATACAGATGATACATTTAAAAAAGCTGAGTTGCTGACACGCACGGTTCCTGCATGTTCTCTGTGCCTCTCTAGGCTTCCAGTCATTCCAAAATATGCGGCTTTTATAACCCCCTTCAAAACGCCGCCCACATCAAGATGCGACTCTTGTCAAAAAAAGGCTTCTTTTCTGTTCCGTGAATGTTTACTGAAAATGTATGGATCTGGCTTGTTTATCGAGAAGTGGTTCACTGGAGCCTGTGCAAGCTTCTGTGGTCCAAGGAAGCCCTTCAAATTATGACACACCGTGTCTCCAATGAGATGGAAACACTCAAACTTCTTGCGCAGAAGGAGACATTCAGCAAGTGCTCTCTTTGCAGTCTCATGGTCTACTCTCACACTCCAGGTGTCTCAACTGCAGATGTCAAAACACTCCCATTTCTGCCCCAGACCTGAAATTAAGCACCACAAACACTTGTTAGCTGACATGCACCAGGGTATTCCACTCTTAAGTAAATCAACTGAAGCCAGTTGCTTATTAGGGCACAAAAATAAGGAAGAACCTAAGAAAGAATTCACTTTATGCACACTACGTCCGGCTTTTTTTAGTATCGGAGGAGCAAAAAAAGCACAAAAACCCCAACAAAGCCCTACTAGCACTGGCTAGATTCACATTTGTGCCCTTTTTGAGCAAGATAGGTGACCCTGAAGCCACAAAAGAGCCCCCTATCCAATTCTGAAAACTGATATTCATCCAAGGACCCTCCTATCTCCTTCTCTCCCCCCCCCCAAAAAAAACTTGGGTCATCTGAACCTCCCTTGTACCTGCTTCCTATTATGCCTACTGGTCCTGCCGCCCTCCAGCTTTTTCACAGCCGCCTTTGTTCAGGGCTCTGGAGCATCAGAAGCAAGACAGGAGCCACGTTTCCACTTACCGTCTTCTCTCTCTCTCTCTCCCCGCCCCCCTCCACCCCAAAAGTCCCCCGGCATTGTTGCTGGGCAGCGTGCTGTCGCTGTCATCGGCTCGCCTCCCCGCGGTTGGATCCAGCAGCCGGCGACGCGCTCGTTGCATTTGTCCTCGGCTTTGTCTCTTCCCCCGACCCCCCCCCCCGGGCGTCCCGCACGGCTGGGCTTCCCGTTTCAGCCGATAGCCGAAAGAGAGGAGAAGATTCAGCAGGATGCAACGATCGCTTTCCTAGGGAAGCCTCCCCGGTTGCAGAGCCTTGAAGTCTTTAAGCTTAGGGGGAAAGAATGGGAAACAAGGAAAAGCGGACTCACTCGAGCCAGCGAGCGCTTGGCCCGCCTGCTCGCTTCCCAGATCCTCCGCTTCGGAGAGACACACGCCCTCCCTCCCTCCCACCGCAACGGAGGGGACAGGCACGCAGCAGCGCCCCACGGCACAAAGATCCCCGCCCGCCACTCCGATCGCTTCAGCCCCCACCCTCCATCGCTGCACGGGAGTTGCATGCTCCGGGAGGAGGGCGTCCCGCCGCGGCCTCGCACCTCTCCGCCCGCCGGTCGGGCTCCCAACTCGGATCGCACGCCTCCCTCTCCCCACCCCCACTCCCACGTTCGCGGGGTTCAGATTTCAAACACTCGCAGACCCAAAGAGAGAGAGAGAGAGTTCGGGCAATCCCCGCCTGGGTTTCCGACGACGCTGCGCGCTGGCCCCTTCTTCACCTTTGCCACTCATACAGCCTTCCACGAATCGGGAGGGGAAAGTTGGGGAGGGGGCAGGCAGACAGGCAGACGCGCGCGCGCGCCCCGACCAAAACAAACAGAAACCCCGAGAGAGAGCGCTCCCACGTTCCCAACGCCGCACCAGCGCCTCGCACAAGTCCGGGGAGCTTGGCGATCGCGATCGCAAGAAGGCAGGCAAGGATTTGTGGTGGATTGAGACGGGGACCCCCCTCCCTCCCATTCACACACCCACACAAAACAAAGACCTTTGCACGGGGCGCGGCAAGCGTGCAGAGCAGACCCGCGCGCGAGCCCACCCGCTGCACACGGAGCTTTTTGCACAAGGCAGGCGCTCATCCACACGGGACGAGGCGGCGAGAGCCGTGTAGACCCGGGCGCAGCCCCGGCAAAGCTGAGACAGCTGCCCCGCCGCGGAGACTGCCTAGCCCCTGGCAGAAAAGAGGGTCTTCTTAGCCGGGGTTGACACCACCCCAAGGGAGGGAGGTGGGCGCGTGAGTGGCTGCAGCCCCTTCCCCAGCCCTCCTCCACCCAGCCTCTCACTCGGCGAGAGAGAAAACCTCCCTTCCCCGGCTGCTGCTGCTGCTCAGTTACCTCCCCTGCTTCCTCTCCTGTGGACAAGGAGGCGGCAGCTGCTGCTGCTGCTGCTGGTTGGCTCGTTCCCCTCCCGCCGCCGCCGAAGCCGCTTTCCCCAAGGCGGGCGAAAGCCCAGACAGGCGTGTCCGCGGAGCTTCCCTTCGCCTCGTCCCTCTTCACTCCCCGCAGGGCCGGCCTTCCGGCCTCGCTCTCCCTGTCCGGCGCAGCCGAAGCGCGGCCGCCGCCACCACCACAGCTGCCCCCGCCCCTTTCCCCCTCTCCCCGGCCTGATTGGGCGGCCTCGCTCCGGCTCCTCCTCGGCGCTCGCCTCCTTAGGCCCCGCCCGCCACCGCCTGCTGGTTCGGTGCTTCGACCGTGGGCGTGGAAGGGGCGTGGCCAGACGCCGCTCGGCATCGCCCGAAGCGGAGGGAAGGCTCGGAGCGCTGCGCTCGATCCTCGCAGCTGGCCGAGGACTCTTGAGTCGCTCCTTTGTTTTCAGGAGCAACAGGCTTTGCCCTACACCTGCCTCTCGAGTAGGTTTACTGTGCTGGTTTCTATGAGGCTCATAGGAGAGCCAGCTCCTTGTTGCCGTGGTCCCTTCATAAATATCCCAAAGTTAATGGGCATTGTCATTCAAATATAGTAGCTTAATGGTCAGGGGTCCCTTTACCTTTACAGTAGCTTAACCCCCAACTCCCCAATATTTTATTCAAATTGGCACCTCGGATAAGGCAAGATATAGGATCTCAGCCCTGGACACTTGCTATATTTAATAGAATTGTAAGGTTGGAAGGGATCACGAGGGTCCAACCCGCTGAGATGTAGGAATCTTTTGCCCAACATAGGACTTGAATCCACGACCCTGGATTAAGTCTCATGATCTACCAGCAGCGATTTAGAACCTCAAGCTCAACCCAGACGCTTTAAAAGAAACACACACACCCCTAACAAAATAATACTACTTCCCACGGAGAAGCCCATCCAGTTTCACTTCCTGAGGCCAATGGTGCCAACTTGGAATAAAATAGGGAGGGGGAATAAGACCCACCCTGAATAATCGATCACAAGACACACACACACTATTTGAATGGCAATGTCCATCAACTTGGGGGGGGGGATGCCCCCCTCAAATATTTTATGGGGGGAGGGCAAAGAGCCTTTATTCCCCAGGAGTTGGCTTCTATGCTCCTCATCAACCAAAACTGGGAAACTGCTGCCACCACCTCTTCTCGCTTCTTCGATGGCAGTGGCAGCAGTGGGTGGGCTCTACAGCACTCAGGCACAGCAGTGGGATCTGTTTCCTCTGGATCCCTGCAGGATCCCTGCAGGAACCCGCCACCTGAGGCAGTCACCTCAGTGTGCTGCCTTATGGTAATGGCTCTGCCCCCTCCCTACAACAGCATCCTCAGGACAGAGCTTTTCCTCTGAGAATAGAGGTCTGATTGTTAGCATGAATAAGGGCAAGGCTTTTGCACGTTTCCTCATGTTTTGCATGTTATCCATGGCCCTTAACTCCTAGGAAAGTGGGTGTGGAATTGCACAGGGCTGGCACAGCAATCACTCAGGGTGAGCAGGAGCAGCATGCCCTGTTTTGAGGCAAAATAGGAAGTGCCCAGCCCCTGCTGCTGCTGCTGCTGCCGCCACCTGCACCCTGCCACATCCGCCACTGGCAGAGAAGCACTGCCATCATCATCACCGAATTTGGATGAGATCTGGTGTGCTTCAGGCGAGGTACTGCTTCACCACTGATGGAGGTGACAGGGCAGGCTGCTGCCTCAGACAGCAAAAACCCCAGAGGCAGTACTCCCATGCCCCGCCCCCCGTCATCTCTTCCAGTGGCAAAGCAATGCAAGCATCAACACCAATTTAAGGCAAGATTGCATCCATTTGGGGTGACATCTCACCTGAAATCAGCACCGATGGTGGCACCACTTCTCTACCAGTGGTGGATGTGTGGCAGGGCATGCTGCGGTGCCACCTATAGGGGGCAGAAGGGGCTTCATCCCCCTCAATATTTCTAGGCAAGGAGCTGAGCCCCCTCCCCCAATATTGATGGGGCTGCCATCCCCCGCTGCCTCCAGCAAGCGCCGGCCTGCCAGGCAGGAGGTGTGGAGTGCAATTTTCACCCTCCACACTCCCTGCCATAATCATTGGAGCCCCTTCCAGGAAGGCACTCTGGTGATCTTCAAAGGGATGCCTGGGTGTCCCCGCAGGCCTGGCCGGATGGGGGGGGGGTCAGGTGTGTGACATCACGCACGAGCAATGGGCCACCCCAGTGTTGGGCCCAATTCTGCACGCCTGGGGCATGTTGTGGCAGGCAGCGGCAGCAGGTATGGCAGTGGTAGTGGCAGGAGTTGCAGCAGGAGCTGGGCAAGGCAGCACTTCCCATTTCTCCCCCAGCTGTTCCCCCAGCTGTTTCCCCCCTAGGTTCCTTACTCTTGTCCCAAGACTTATGTCCGTCAGCATTGGTGCAGCCTAAAGTAGACCTGTGGTGTCCACTGAAACGATTGGGACCGGTGTGGGAATTAACTTGTGTGGTTTGAGCTCCATGCTTTGGCTAATGAGGCCAATGAAACTTTAGATATAGAGTTAATATGTAGGGTGCCATCCTGACCTCTTTTGGGTGCATCAGTTACACTCAGGAAGAAGGAGGGGAGTTTCTGTGGCCGTCTGTGTTAGTCTTGCAGGTGCTTTGAGCTGCAGATTGCATAGTATTCTTTGACCACATGTGAAGTTTAAATGTAAGTTATGAGCTTTGGGCCTGTATCACTTTGACTTTTTGCTTCACGCAGCCAAATCCCCTTGAGAAAAAGTGGGTTCCTTGCTGGCCTATGTTATCAAACCACCTTTAAAATAAAATCATGTACCAAAGTCTTTAAGTGTGAGTAACTCTGCTTTTGCAGTGATTCCTTCATCAGTTCATATCCTGTTTCTAAACTTACGCTTTTGGGGAAGTGAGTAATCAGTTACTCTGCCTTTATAGGCATCCCTGGGTAGCTTAACTTGTGTAATTTAAGGCTGTTCAGAGGGATTTTGATACAGAGAAACTGTATTTTGTTTTATAATGATAACTTACCTTTTCTTAGCAGCCACTCATATCTTTGCAATTTTCTACTCTAAATTGTCAAGAACTTAAAAAAAATAAATCATTGCTGTTCTGAGTGCAGTTTTCCCAAAGTAAATCAAGAGCTTTCAATAGAATTCACAAGTGACTGAGTTTAGGAATGCAGTATAACTTCAAAACACATGCATTTAAGGTGACTGTACTCTGTATTCTTGCTTACGATGATGACGCAACATAACATGATATTTACAGTGACTATTTGAAGAGCTTACAATAGTCAGCCACAGAAATTTGAATCAGGCTGCATCAGGTGAGGGTTGAGTCCTAAGCAATGCTGCTACAGAGTTTTACAGTGGGAATGAAACTTGAAAAGCAAGAAAGGAAGCTGCTTTAGTTATTGAGTGTTTTGCAATGGACTTAAAGCATGCTAACTTATACTCTGACATGAATGCCACAATATAAAGAATAATGCCCAAATATGATCTGCAACAAAATGTTGCAGCATGGAGTGCTGGTGTTCAGTATTCCGGCTAGTTAGCCACACTTTTCTACTGGACACATTTTTCACAATTGACGGCTTATGCCTTTTTGCATCTCTTTCCCCTGAGATTTGAAGGCAAATCCTGTGTAAAACATGCATTCAATTTGAAAATGCCTATCTTTCATTTCCTGTCCCACTTTAACACTCATAGGGGGATAAATCCCAAAGTAAGATGACAATCTGAACCCCTGATCTGGACTGCTTGTGGGCAGTAGGATTCAGCAGAGGTGTCCCTTTTCCTAGGCTCTGTCAGCAAGGCACTCCAATGCTATAGAGACCGCTTCTGCACCTGCCAAATGCTGAGCACACTTTTGAGCGAGTTCATACCTCTTTCCCATTTTCCATGATGAGGGAGCAAGTGTACATTGTTTTGCATGTTTAAATAATAAGGAAAATCTGAGAAAATCCCATTTTACATGTCTCTGTACCTGACAGCTTGCAGGAACAAATAAGTATGGGCAGGTGCTTAAAGTGAGCGCTCACTTGGTCTGTCATGAGTTGTACATCTGTATTCACATGATTACATTTTCAGCAGAGAAATCTTAATTACCTGACTCAAGTTTAATTCATTAATTGGCATGCCTAATTTATTATAATCTTCCCGTAAACCACTGTGAGGTGTAGATTTCTCGTACAGATTAAAAAGTGAATTGTTTAATGTCAGGTTTCTCAGATACAATCAACAGAATCTTATTTGACTTGCCCAGGGTGCAAGTGGAGGTTTGCATGTTTGAATCCTCTCCTACCTCGAAATATGCAAAGGTCCACATACAATCAGAGAAAATGCACATTTGGATTTCCCCACCTTCAAATTTCATTTCATGCAAATTGGGCCAAACTCTTTAACCTCTCTATTTTTCACCTGTTAAACTTGAGGAAGCTTGATCACTTATTTATCATTTGCTTTAACAACAACAACAACAACAACAAACTTTTGTTCTAATGGATTGCCTGTGTTAGCTTTACCCAGCTGGTGCCCTCCGGATTGTGAACTACGAATCCTATCATTCCCAGCCAGCATAGCAAACGATCAGGAATGTTGCAAGGGTTCTAGCTTAGGGAAGACTGGTCTACAGCACACACTGATATTAATAAAGCAAAGAAACATTGCTGGGAATGTTAACAGGAGCATTGAACGTATATTAAATTTCATTTTAAAGGGCAAGGAGCCTGCTGACTTCAGTCAATTACAGAAAAGCTGTGTTTCAATTAGATTGTGGCTAATTGAATTTTATAATATGGAAACTGGTGCTTCCTTGGGAAGGCTTTGCCATACACATCAGAAACCACAGAGAATTCCATTTTGACAGGGAAATCTCCTTATATTTTGGTATGCTGTATTTGAGATTCATCTGAACCTTGACATTGAACAGTAGCTAAGCTGATAAGGAGGCAACTGAATGAGGGAAAGAGAGTGGGAGGACTCATAGCTCATTGGTGGAGTGCATGCATTTTATGCAGAAAGTTCTTGTGAATTACCGTATTTTTCGCTCTATAGGACGCACTTTTTCCCCTTCAAAAATGAAGGGGAAATGTGTGTGCGTCCTATGGAGCAAAGACGCCATAGCCCCGCTTATCCTCTCCCGGCTGGAGAGGTGACGCGCGGCTA